GTAGGAAATTAAGAAATAACTTCTGGAGTAACCTGGAGGAACAGGCAAGTTTGGCTTTGGAGTACAAAATAAAGCAGGGGAAAGGCTAATAGTTTTGCCAAGAGAATACACTGGTCATAGCAAACACCCTCTTACAACAACACAAGAGATGACTCTACACATGGACATCACCAGATGGTCAACACCAAAATCAGATTGATTATATTTTTTGCAGCCAAAGATGGAAAAGCTCTATACAGTCAGCAAAAACAAAACCAGGAGCCGACTGTGGCTCAGATCATGAATTCCNTCCCGAGAAACCTGTATGCAAGGCAAGAAGTAACAGTTAGAACCAGACATTGAACAACAGACTGGTTCAGAATTGAGAAAGGAGTACATCAAGGCTGTGTATTGTTGCTCTGCTTATTTAATGTATATGCAGAGTGTGTCATGCAAATTTTGGGGCTGGATGAATCACAAGCTGGAATCAAGATTGCTGAGAGAAATACCAGTAACCTCAAAAATGCAAATGACACCACCCTGTTGACAGAAAGTGAAGAGGAACTGAAGAACATCTTGATAAAAGTGAAAGAGGAGAGTGAAAAAGCTGGCTTAAAACTCAACATTCAGAAAACTAAGATATGGCATTCAATCCCATCACTTTATGGGAAATAGAAGGGGAAAAAGCAGAAACAGTGACAGATTTTATTTTCTCAGGCTCCAAAATCTCTGTAAATGGTGACTACAGCCACAAAATTAAAAGACACTTGCTCCTTGGAAGAAAAGTTTTGACAAACTAGACAATGTATTAAAAAGCAGAGACATTGCTGACAAAGGTCTTGGTTTTTCAAAGTAGTCATATATAGATGTTAGAGGCACCATAAGGAAGATTGAGCACCAAAGAATTTATGCTTTCAAATTGTGGTGCTGGAGAAAACTCTTGAGAGTCTCTTGGACTGCACAGAAATCAAACCTGTCCATCGTAAAGGAGATCAACCCTGAATATTCACTGCAAGGACTGATGCTGAAGCTTCAGTACTTTGCCCACCTGATGGGAAGAGCTGACTCGTTGGAAGAGCCCCTGATGCTGAGGAAGATTGAAGGGAATGACAGAGGGTGAGATGGTTGGATAGCATCACTGACTCAATGGACATGAGTTTGAGCAAGCTCCAGGAGTTGGTGATGGACAGGGAAGCCTGGCGTGCTGCAGGTCATGGGGCTGCAAAGAGTCGGACATGACTAGGTGACTGAACAACAGTAACAATGCCAATGCGTGGCTTAAAAGTTCAAATGGTACAGAATGGTAAAGGATAAAAAAGCAGGCCTTCTCAGGATCAGTGGTGCTAACTCATGGTAATGCTATGTACTCTAGACACAGTGTGATGAAAATGACACTTCACTGGTTTTCCTTCCCCAAACTCTTAACACCAATTGAATCACGAGGAAAACATCAAACAAATTCCATTAGAAGGACATCCTATTAATAGTGCATCAGTACTGATTGACTAATGTGGCAAAGGAACCATACTAATGTGCAGTGTTAATAATAGGGGAAATAAAAAAAGAATAGGGGAAACTAGCTGACAGCTGTGTGGGAGCTCCTCTGCACCATCTTCTCAATTTTTATGTAAATCTAAAATTGTTCTAAAAAATAAAGCATTTTAAAAAAGTCTCCTTCCTCCACTGAACTTCTAGTATCCTGCTCTAGAAGGAACTACTTCTTGCCATTTTCTTGTGATTCCTTTGAGAGAGATTTATGCCGAAATAAACGTATTACCACATATGTTTGTTTGTATTTGTAGTACTTTGTTTGTATAGTATGTCGTAGTTTAACTGGTCTCCTGTGTAGATGGATAGTTGTCTAATTTTGTTACAGCATACTAGTTTATAAGTCTGATATTTGGAACAGAGTTAAGAGGTGGCAGTTGGGAGCTGGGATAGCAGGAGGGAACAATTGATTTTGTTTTGGTATGTAGTTGAATTGATTGATTTGCTGCTCCACATCTCTTCAGAGATAACCAAGTTTTATTTTAGTGTTTAGTTGGATGGATGGATGGATTTAGTGATTCATTTATCTCCGTAAGTTGATATAAAGCAGGTTGTCTTTTTTTTAGCTATTTAAATGTATTTGATGAGTAGATAAGAGGTGTGCTCTATGCACTATTAGGTTGGTGCAAATATAATTGTGGTTTCAGACCATGAATTTTATTTATTTATTTATTTATTTATTTTTTAGACCATGAATTTTAAATCACTGTAATTAGGCTCCCACACATCCTACACATGCCTATCTCCCCTGGTGGCTCAGATGGTAAAGGTGTCTGCCTACAATGCGGGAGACCCGGTTTCGATCCCTGGGTCAGGAAAATTCCCTGGAGAAGTAAATGGCAACCCACTCCAGTACTCTTGCCTGGAAAATCCCGTGGACAGAGGAACCTGGTGGGTTACAGTCCATGGGGTCGCAAAGAATCTGGCACCACAGAGCAACTTCACAACTTCACTCCCACATCTTTATTAATCAAAATAGGAACCATTACAATCAACTCATTTTTGCCAACAGAAATAAGTTTGTTTATTCCTTTAACGTAAAAATCTGTGCTTTGGGATTCCACGGACTCTTGGAAAGCATTTTCTGCCTCCTGCTGGTTGTGGAAGCATTTTCCCTGCAAAAAATTATCAAGCTGCTTGAAGAAGTAGTAGTTTGTTGGCGAGAGGTCAGGTGAATATGGCACATAAGGCAAAACTTTGTAGCCCAGTTCGTTCAACCTTTGAGGTGTTGGTTGTGCAGTATGCAATTGGGCATTGTCATGGAGCAGATTGGGCCTACTCTGTTGATCAATGCAGGCTGCAGGCATTGCATTTTTCAGTGCATCTCAGATGTAATCATTTCACCAGCAGACAGACCAGCAGATAGCCACCATGACCTTTTTTTGTTACAGGTTTTGCTTTGGGGAGTAATTTGGAGCTTCTTCTCAGTCCAACCACTGAGCTGATCATCTCTGGTTGTTGTATAAGACCCACTTTTTGTCACGTCACAGTCTGATCAAGAAATGGTTCGTTGTTGGGTAGAGTAAGAGAAGACAACACCTCAAAACGATGATTTTTTTGATTTGCGGTCAGCTCGTAAGGCACCTGCTTATCAAGCTTTTTCACCTTTTCAATTGCTTCAAATGATGAACGTCTGTAGAATGGTTGACGTTGAGTACTTCACCAACTTCTCATGTAGTTGTAAGAGGATCAGCTTCTGTACTAACACTATATGTTGTAATCTGCTGCAAAAACAGAGGAGGAAGTGACTGAACTGTATGTTGTTTTTTTCCATTAAGTTTTAGATGTCATTCAGAAAAAGGAGTTGAAGGTTCATGGTTGGCTTAGTTGAATGGTTTTTGTCACCACAGGAAGGAAATATTCTCATTTCTCTCCTGTTCATTGTGTAGACTTTAAGTTTGTAGGACAAAGTGAGCCAGCCTTTACTGTAAGTCAGCCTCTGGAAAGAAGTCCTATAAATTCCTTGCATTTATAAGCATTAAAAAATACTGAGTAACATGATTTCTTTATGCTTCAGTATATATTCAGGAAAAGTGTTATGTACTCTTGGTATGGTGATGCTGCTACATAACATTTGTGAAACTGTTGTTCGTTATTTACCAAGGAATGGTTATCTAAGGATGGGGAAAAGAAGATGGGAAGGACAGGGAAGAGAAGATGTGTTGTCCTTTCACTGGTTCCCTTTCCTGACAAATAATGGCCTTCTTCCATGACCTAGCCTCACTTTTCTTTTGGTCTAGCTTCAAGTTCTGGCTCTCTTGTGTTTGTCTAATTATATTTATTTTTAATTATGAAATAAATAGGTGAGTCCGCTCCCACAGGACAGTCAAACACTGTTCCCCTTGACTCTGGTCCTACTCCTCTCCTTTAAAAAAACTAAATTCATTGCTCTCCTTTTGGTGTGTATGGAAAGATGTGTTCATGCGTGTGTGTGTGTAACTAATTGTGGCATACAAAATGCACTGTCCTATTTGAAGTGTTCACTGGCAGTATGTATTATGTATTAGAGGGCATTTGAAGTCATAACATATTGATTGAATTTAATAAATTTCATGGATGTAACAGATTTAATTTAACCTTTCTGCTACTGTTGACTTTCTAGATTGTTACCATTTTTTATTTGTTACTTCAGACAGTGCTATAGACACCTCCCTTGTACATTCTGTGTGCCTTGTGAGAGTTTCTCTAGGTTATCAAAGAAATGGATTACCCATAGGAGTTGAGGAATGTAAATTTTGCAGATTCTGCTGACACATTGCATGAGAAAAACATGTTGTAGATTTGAATGGATAGTACAATATCATTTGTGTTGGAAGAAAAGCCCAGATATGTCGCAGGAACATATTCTGTTAACTAGACTGATAATGGTTGGAAACTTTGTAGAGAATATTAGACCTGAGAACAGTGATCAGAAGGGATTTTTTTGACCTTTTCAGTGATGTTTAGGTTTTTATAACAGAAATGTATTTATGTATTACTTGAGTTGTTTTAGTTACTAATAAGAATATAGATAAGTTTGAACAATTTATATCTTTATGTTACAAGCATAGAATAGTCCCTATTATCAGCCACATACTGATCATTTTAAAATTGTGTTCATAATGTGTAGAAAAATCAGTATATTTTTAAAAGTAGATAAGGTGAGAGTGAGGGTCACATTCTTTGGCCCCTATTATCTCAGTCAAATATTTAATAATCTTGAGTTTTTCCAGATTTACTAGTAAAAGCTATATGTTACTATAGCTTTCTATTTACTGTGTTTGGATTTTAGTACAAGTGACTACAATTTTAAAAGTTCTGCTATTAAAAAAAATAAATAAATAAAAGTTCTGCTATTGGCCCTAATACTCTTTAATGCAATTTTGCATTAAAGCATTTAAATATTACCAGTGTTGTGAATATATTGAACTTCTTAAATTATGTAACCCCAAAGAATAAGTGTTTTTTAATAAGTAATTTTTTTTTCCTTACAGAGATGTGAAAGCTGGCAATATTCTTCTTGGAGAAGATGGCTCGGTACAGATTGCAGGTACTTATTAGTATTTCTTTTTATTTTATCTTTTTATTTTAGGTTAATGGCTGATAGAACAGCATTACTTATCTTCTATGTTTTCTTAGTCAGCTTTCTCTTCTGTACCCTGGACCATCTCTGGTCACACATACTATGTTGATACATCCCTGCTGACTCAAGGTATCTTCCACTACTCATCCTTCATGTTCAGTCTTAGGCATTTTCTAACCACTACTTACTATGGTTATCTATTCCTAACTCCTGTTAGAGTCATCTTCTGTCGGTTCTTATACCATTCTTTAGCTTTCCTCTAAAGGAGAAGTAGTCAAGAAATTTCATTGTGTTTAATAAATGTGCTTTAGGGACGTTATACTTCTCTTCTGGAAGAAATGGGTTATTTGCCAGTTAGGAAGACACAGCTGAGAGGTGGAAGTGTACTTTTGTTAGACTCAGAGTTGAAGAGATAAGAGTTAGAGTCCAAGGCCTTCCAGTGTTGGTATCTTGGTGAAATGCCCCCTCCCCCAGGGTGAGACTCCAGAATGGCTGAACTGCAGGACTGTTGAGCAAGCAGATCATCTGAGAAAATCTCAGCTTGGTCCCACACTGCTGGAACAGTCAGGTGTTTGGCAGGAGGAAGATAACTACCCAAACCTTGAATTATTTCTTCAGCTTTAGAAGAAAATTTAGGCACACATCTTCATGTCCTCAGGTAAGGGAATATTTTAACTAAGCCATATCATGTTCTAACATAAAGAAAAAGATTGATAAATTTAACTCCTGTAAAATTAGCAACTATTGTTCATCAAAAGAAGAAAAGTTTGTCACCATTAATAAGTAAAAAAGCAAAAACCACAGAGTAGATAAGACATTTGCACAATAAATAACTTGACAAGGAGCTCAGATTTAGAACGTACAAAGAACTAATTAAGGAAAAGTCAAATAACCTCAAATAAGACATCAAAACATAGTAAAAGGTGTACAACCTCAACTAATTAGCAATTAATGCACAATAAAATAACACTGGGAAATCACATTATATTGACTGATGTAGCAAACATATCTGACAGTACTGGTTATCATTGTGGGCGTAAGGCAAGAGAGAATCTCACCTTCTGATGGTGAGAATATAAGCTAGTAGGAACATTTTAATAAGTTGAAGATGTTCATACCCAGAGACTTGAGCTTCTACATGTATGGTGTAGCAAAACTCATACTTCAGTGTGCTGTAGTGCTAATAAGCATTGAAAGTTTGAAACAGTACCAAGCCTTTTGTTAGTAGGATGTATAAGTAAATTGTAGTTAATTTTTACTTTAGAATACTATATAATGGGCTTCTCTGGTGGCTCAGTAGCAAAGAATCTGCCTGCCAATGCAGGAAACACCAGAGACATGGGTTCAATCCGATCCCTGGGTTGGGAAGATTCCCTAGAGGAGGAAATGGCAACCCACTCCAATATTCTTGCCAGGAAAATCCCAGGGACAGAGGAGCCTGGAGGGCTACCGTCCATGAGCTCACAAAGAATCGGACACAACTGAGCACACACGCACTTGAGCTTGATACTACATAGTGATGGAAATGAATGAAACTCCAGCTGTACACAGAAGCATTAAATAAATTATAAAAACACAGGGTGAATGAAGCTGGTCGAAATAGAATATATAGCTTGTGATTCCATTTACATAAGTTCAAAACCAGGCACAATTAATGCTGTATTGGGTAGAGAAGCACAATCAAATGGTAAGGAACAAAAAAGAAAGAATTCTAGGAAAATGGTAGAGTAGAAAGCACCAAGAATCTTCTCCCTACCTAGACAACAGTTGAATTGGCAGAATCTGTCTAGTGTAGCTATTTTGGAATTCTGCATTCTATTGATTGCTTGAAACTTTTAGAACAAGACTTGGAAGGTAAATTGCAGTTAATTTTTGTCGGTTTCAGAGCTGCTGATTTCTTACCCATCAGCCGCATGGCAGGCAGCTATGCATATGTTTTTAGAGCAACTTGCACACAACTTGCAGGAACTATGGTGGGTAGAAAGAACCCTGTCCTTTAAATATCCTAGCATCTGCTCTGATTACTAATTGCAGCTTCTGATCACAGAGATGCAGACAAAGAGACAGGCAGCCATTGTTGTTACAGCTCCTCCTTTCCAGGCACTTGAACAGGCCATTGCCTTTTTTTCCTTCCTTCATTTCTCTCCTCTTCCTCTTTTTGAAGCCAAGCCTTAAAGACTAGGACAATAGAAAATAACTACAGGACTTTCCTGTGGGTCCAGTTGTTAGACTTCTGCACTTTCACTGCCAAGGCACTAGATTCCATCCCTCATCAGGGAATTAAGATCCCACAAGCCATGTGATGTGGCCACAAAACCAAAACAAAAACAAGATTTGCAGGGAAGATTGAATAGTGAATGTTTGTTCTCAGGAAAAGGTGCAGAAAAGATCTGAGAAGGCCTTAAGTTTACATTTCAGGCCAATGCTTGACATAGACACAGCCTACAGCAACCCAAAAAAACAAAACAATAACAAAAAACAGTAAATCCCAGGGAAGGGGAAGAATCTGGTTTCCAGAGTTAGCACATTATTAGATTCAAATGTTCATCTTCAATAACAACAAGAAAAAATCACAAGACATTCAGTGAAACAGGAAAGTATGATCTATTGAAAGGAAACCATCACTGAAAAAGGCTTGATGGCAGATATATTAGACAAAGACTTTAAAACAACCATCTTAAAAATGTTGAGAGAGTTAAAAGATATGGAAAAAATTGAAACAACAATTGTTAATAAAATCTAAATATCAATAAGGAAAGAAGACTTAAAGAGAAACAAGAAAGAAATTCTGGAGCTAAAAAGTACAATAACTTGAATTGTGAAATGAAAAACTTATTAGAAGGATTTAAATGCAGATTTGATCTGGTTGAAGTAATAATTGATGATCTTGAATATGGAAATTATTGAGTCTAAGGAACAGACTTATGGGTTGCCATTTCCTTCTCCAAGGAACAGAAAGGAAAATGATTGAACAAAGTGAATAGAGCCTGATGGGTCTGTTTGGACATCATTAAGCAGACCAGCATCCACATTATGTGAGGCCTCGATGGAGAAGAAAGGGGCAGAGAGAATAATTGGAGAAATAATGGCTGAAAACATCTCAAACTTAATGAAAAACATGAATATAAACGTCTGAGAAGCTCAGTGATCTCCTGCTAAAGTGAACTCTGAGAGACTCACAGAGACACATAATCAAACTTAAGAAAGACAAAGAAAAAGAATCGTAAAAACAGCAAGAGACAAGTGACTCATCACATACAAGGTGTCCTAAACAAGGTTGTCAGCAGACTTCTCATCAGAAACTTTGGAGGCCAGAAGGCAGAGGGACAATGTATTCAAAGTTTTGGGAAAAAGTGTCAACCAAGGATGCTTTTAAAAGTGAGGGAAAAATTAAGACATTTCCAGATAAACAAAAGTTGAGGATATATATTTCCACTAGACTTGCCCTGCAGGAAATACTCAAGGGAGTTGTGCAAGGTAAAATGAGAGGACCCTAGATAATAACTCCAAGCAGTGTGAAGAAATAAAGAACTCAATTAAGGTAAATATGTGGGTATGTTAAAAAAAGTACTATTATTGTAACAGTGGTTTGTAACTGCACTTTTTGTTTTCTACATAATTTAAGAGACTAACACATTACAGAAAACAGTTATTGGTCTAAAACTTGATATTACAATAGCATTGGTTTGTAACACCACATCTTCTTTTCTACATAATTTAAGAGACTAATGCATTTAAAATGATTAGTTTATGTTTTTGAGCACACAGTTCATGAGGATGTAATTCTGTGATAACAGCAACCTGAAAAGATGAGAATAGTGCTGTAAAGAAAAAAGTTTTTGCATGTTATTGAAGTTAAGCTGGTGTAAATGCAAATTAGAGTGTTAAAACATTAGGGTGGTAAGTGTAACCCCCATGGTAACCATAAAGAAAATAGCTATAGAATATAAATTTTTTAAAATAAGGAAAAATTTTAAGCATTTTGCAACAAAAAGTTAAGCACAAAATAAGTAATACAGGAAATGAGGAACAAGTTTTTTTGTTCTTTTGTTTTTAAGTTGCATGTAGCAACTTAACATGCATGCTAAGTTGCTTCTAGTCATGTCTCTTTGTTACCCTGTGTACCATAGCCCACCAGGCTTCTCTGTCTGTGGGATTCTCCAGGCAAGAATACTGGAGTGGGGACTTCCCTGGTGGTCCATGGGTTAAGAATCCACCTTCCAATGCAACAGATGTAGGTTCGATCCCTGGTCGGGGAACTAAGATCGCATATGCCTCCAGCCCATGTACAGCAACTGGAGGAGCCCAGGAGCAAGTAAGACCCAATACAGACAAATAAACAAATACATTAAATAGAAAAAAGAATACTGGAATGGGTTGCCCTGCTCTCCTCCAGGGAATCTTCCTGACTCAGAGATCGAACCCATGTCTCTTGTGGCTCCTGCATTAGCAGGGAAGTTCTTTAACACCAGCGCCTCCTGGGAAGCCCCCCAAAACTTTAAATCACATGAAAAAAATAGCACAATGATAGAAGTAAGTCCCTCTTTATCAATAATCACTTTAAATAGATTAACTGTCCAATTAAAAAATGGTTTAAAACATGATCCAACTATATGCTGTCTATAAGCAACTCACTTTAGATCCAAAGATACAAATAGATTAGAAGCAAAAGGATGGGAAAATATATTCTATGCAAATAGTGACCAGAGAGAGCAGGGTGGCTACTCTAATATCAGACAAAATAAACTTTGTATTTAAAAGGTTGTAAGAGACAAAGAAATACATTATATATTAATAAAAGGTTAAATAGATATAATAAGTAGATAAACAGTTACAAACATTCATGCAAATATTAACATACCAGCAAAATATATGAAGCAAAAAGTAACAGAACTGAAGGGTACTATAGATAGCTCTGTAACACTAAAAGGAACTGTAGAGAGTTCTATAGTAATAGTTGGAGACTCTAGTACTCCAGTCTTAATAATGGGTAGAACAGACAGAATGTAAGGAAATAGAAGACTTAAACAACACATTGACTAACTAGAAACAGGCATATTCAAAGCACTCTACCCAATAAGAACAGTGTACACATTCTTTTGAAGTGTCCAAGGGGCATTTTCTAGGATAGACCATTTTTTAGGCCACAGATTAAGTGATAATCATATAAAGTATTTTCTCTTATCACAACGAGGTAAAGCTAGAAACCAACCACAGAAGACTTGAAAATTCACAAATTTGTGGAAACTAAACAAAAATAGATTGACAAATAGATTTTGACAACCAATGGATGAAGGAAGACATCACACAGGAAACTAGAAAATACTTAGAGATGAATGAAAACAAAATCACAACCATACCAGAACTCATGGGACACAGTGAAAGCATTGCTAAGGGCCAAATTTGTAGCTTTAGATGCTTTATTTACAAAAAAAGAAAGCTAGCAAATCAACAACCTAACTTCACAGCTTAAGGAACCAGAAAAAGAAGAAACTGAACCCTCAGCTAGCAGAAGGAAAGAAATAATAAAATTTAGAGTTGAGAAAAGGATATAGAGAAAGAAGAGCAATAGAAGAAATTGATGAAACCGAAAGTTGAAAAAACTGACATACCTTTAGCTAGGTAAACTAAGAAAAAAACAAAAGAAGACTCAAAATACTAAAATCAGAACCAAAAATGTGGATATTGCTACCAATTCTACCAAAATAAATAGGATTATAAGATGTAATGTGAACAATTCTACTCCAGCAAATTGAATAACCTAGATGGGCAAATTTTTTGAAATATTAAACCTAACAAGATGAAATCATGAATAAATAGAAAATCTTAAATGACCTATATATAGCTTGTAAGGAGATTGAATCAATAATCAAAAATTTTCTGACAGAGAAAAGCCCTGGACTCAGTGGTTTAACTGGTAAATTCTGTCAGACATTTAAAGAAGAACTAATAACAGCCTTCCTCAAAGTTTTCCAAAAATTTGAAAAGGAAGAAACACTTTCTAACTCATTTTATTGAGTCCAAAATTACCCTATTCCCAAAGTCAGGCAGAGATACTAACCCAAGAAAAGAATACTATGGACCAGTATCTATTATAAACATTGATGTAAATATTTTCAGCAAAATACTAGTAGCAAATCAAATTCAGTAGCATGTTAAATGGATGATACACCATGACCAAGTAGGATTTCTTTGGAATGCAAGAGTGGTTCAACATGTGAAAATCAGTGTTACACATGAGATTACCAGAACAAAGAGAAAAAGAAAACCCACATGATCATCTCAGTGCAGAGCAAACATTTGAGAAAATTTAACACCCTTTCATGGGCTTCCCTCGTAGTCAGTTGGTGAAGAATCTGCCTGCAGTGCAGGAGACCCAGGTTTGATTCCTGGGTTGGGAAGATCCCCTGGAGAAGGAAATGGCAACCCGCTCCAGTATTCCTGCCTGAAGAATCCTATGGACAGAGAAGCCTGGCAGGCTACAGTCCATGGGGTCGCAAGAGTCAGGCAGGACTTAAACCACCACCACAACACTCTTTCATAATAGAAACATGCAACAAAGTAGGAACAGAAGGAAACGTCCTCAGCATAGTAAAAGCTACATATGAAAAACCTACCATGAATATCATACTCAGTGATGAAAGACTTGAAAGCTCTTCCTCTGAGTTCAGGAACACGGGAAGAATGTGTTAGTACTGGAAGTTCTGAATTGAACAATTGAGCATGAAAAATAATAAAAGACATTCAGACTGAAAAGAAAGAAGTAAACTTATCTCTGCAGATTCTATGATCTTACGTGCAGAAAATCCTAAGCATAACATTACATTAAAAAAAAAGCTGCTTGAACTAATAAATGAGCTTTGCAAAGTAGGATAAAAAGTCAGCACTTAAAAATCAGTTCAGTTTCTACCCTAACAATGAACAATCTGAGAAAAATATTACAAGCAATTCTGTATACAAGTAGCATCAAAAATAATTAAAATACCTAGAAGTTAACATAACCAAGGAGGTGAAATACTTGTACAATGAAAACTATAAAACATTGCTGAAAGAAATTAAAGAGGATGTAAATAAATAGAAACACATCCCCCCTGTTCATGGATTAGAAGACTTACCATTGTTTTAAAAAGTTAGTACTACCCAAAGTAATCTGCAGATTCAGTGCAATAATGCCTGTCAAAACCTCAATTTTTTTTTGTGGCAGAAATAGAAAAAAAATCCTAAAATGCATATGTAAGCTTGAACCTCAAGTAGCCAAAACAGTCTTTAAAAAATGAACAAAGTAGGAGGATTCACACTTCCTGATTTCAAAACTTATTGCAAAGCAATAGTAATAGAAACAGTATATTGTTGGTATAAAAATTGGCATAAAGACCAGTGGAATAGAATAGAAAGCCCAAAAATAAACCCTCGTATAATATGATCAGATGATTTTTAACAGGGGTGTCAAGGCCATTCAGTGGGGAAAGGAGTCTTCTCAATAGATGGTTCTGGGAAAACTAAATATCCAAATGCAAAAGAGTGAATTTGGACCCTTATCTAACATAATATTCAAAAATTAACTGAAAATGGACTCTAATATAAAGACCTAAAACAATAAAACTCTAGAAGAAAACAGGGCACATGATTCATGACATTGGATTTGGTAGTGATTTTTAGATATGACACCAAAGGCATAGGCAACAGAAAACAAAACAATAGATTGAATTTCATGAAAATTTTAAAAATTTGTGCACTTAAAGACATTATCCACAGATGAAAAAGGCAACCCACAGAATGGGAGAAAATATTTGCAAATCATGTATCTGACAAGAGACTTATAATATCCAGAATATACAGAGAACTCCTCAAATTCAAGAGCAACAACAAAATCAATTTTAAAATTGATTTGAATAGACATTTCTCCAAAGAAGATATGCAAATGTTCAGAAAGCACATGAAAAGATGCTCAGTATCACTAATCATCAGGGAAAAAATACAAATCAAAACTAGAAGGAGATAATAACATACCCATTAGGGTGGCTGTTATCAAAAAAATACAAAATAGCAAGGATGTGGAGAAATCAGAATCCTTGTTCACTATTTGGAGGGACATAAAATGGTAGAGTTCTTGTGGAAAACAGTATGGCAATTCCTTGAATCAGTTAAAGATAAAAATTCTGTATGATCCAGCAATTCCACTTCTGAATATATAACCCCAAAGAACCTAAAGCAGGAATTGAAAAAGCTATCTGTACACGCATTTTCATAGCAGCATTACTTACAATGGCAAAATACGGAAGCAATTTAAATGTCCATCAGTGGATGAATGTATACACAAAGCGTGGTATGTACATACAATAAAATATTATGCAGCCTCCAAAGGAAGGAAATTCTGACACATGCTATAACATGAATGAACCTTGAAGATCTTGTGATAAGTGAAATAACTCCATTATAAAAAGATAATTATGTATGGTTCCACTAATATGAAATGCTTAGAGTAGTCAAAATTACAGAGACAGAAAGTAGAATGGTTGTTGCCAGGGTCTGAGGAAAAGGGACAATGAGAGTTATTGTTTAATGGATATAGAGTTTCAGTTTGGGAAGATGAAAAGAATGGATTGGAGCAAGGAGGAAAATCTGAGGAGATGATGTGTGGAGGTGGAGAGGAATAGAATGAGGAACCCATTAAGCTATGTGTTAATTTAGTCAAGAAGTTCAGCGGAAAAACGAAAAAAGGTCATACTATGTATGTAGGACCATAACTACATTATATTATTTTCCTATGTATTTATGTTAGTTACTGTACTTTTAATCCCTTGTGGTTATATTCTGTTTTAGACTTTGGAGTTAGTGCTTTTTTAGCAACTGGTGGTGACATTACTCGAAATAAAGTGAGAAAAACCTTTGTTGGAACCCCTTGCTGGATGGCGCCTGAAGTTATGGAACAGGTACTGGGTCTTTTGTCTTTTTACAGTGATTTAGGTTTTTTTACAAAATTAAAAAAACTGAGTAGTGTTTGCTTTCCAGTGGTCTGCTAGGTTACCTTTGGGAAACATGCCTCTGTTCCTTGTCTAAGACTTGGCATCATGCTTAAAAATAAACAAACCCCAAACTCTAGAACTTAGCAAAGGACATGTTAATCTCAAGATTTATACAAAGGCAACCTAAGGAATAGTATAATTAAGACTGATTTAATGGTAATATCCTTAGTACAAGTTAAATAACCTGATCTTTTTACACGTGGCTCTTGAAGGACTAGTTTTCCTTGCATCCCTATTTCCTGATTGTGTCGAACAGACTGCAGTTTATGTCACTCATCCCATCACCTTATGGAAGGAAACTCTGCTAATTCTAGAATCCAGTGCTCATATTTTGCTCCTTGTTTTATTCTCTTTGTGGCATTTGAAGCTGTCGACCTTTCCCCCTTTACTCACATCTTTTTTTTTTTTTTAATTGGAGACTAATTGCTTTACAGTATTGTAGTGGTTTTTGCCATACATTGACATGAATCAGCCATGGGTGTACATGTGTTCCCCATCCTGAACCCCCCTCCCACCTCCCTCCCCATCCCATCCCTATGGGTCGTCCCAGTGCACCAGCCCTGAGCACCCTGCCTCATGCATTGAACCTGGACTGGCGATCTGTTTCACGTATGGTAATATACATGTTAGAATGCTATCTCTCAAATCATCCCACCCTCGCCTTCTCCCACAGAGTCCAAAAGACTGTTCTTTATATCTGTGTCTCTTTTGCTGTCTCACATATAGGGTCATCGTTAGCATCTTTCTAAATTCCATATATATGCGTTAGTATACCGTTTTGGTGTTTTTCTTTCTGACTTACTTCACTCTGTATAATAGGCTCCGGTTTCATTCACCTCATTAGAACTGATTCAAATGTATTCTTTTTAATGGCTGAGTAATATTCCATTATGTATATGTACCACAGCTTTCTTATCCATTCGTCTGCCAATGGACATCTAGGTTGCTTCCATGTCCTGGCTATTATAAACAGTGCTGCGATGAACATTGGGGTACACGTGTCTCTTTCAATTCTGGTTTCCTTGGTGTGTATGCCCAACATTGGGATTGCTGGGTCATATGGCAGTTCTATTTCCAGTTTTTTAAGGAATCGCCACTGTTTAAGCCACTGTTCTCCATAGTGGCTGTACTAGTTTGCATTCCCACCAACAGTGTAAGAGGGTTCCTTTTTCTCCACACCCTCTCTAGCATTTATTGTTTGTAGACTTTCTGATAGCAGCCATTCTGACTGGCATGCCCTTTACTCACATCTTTAGCTTCCTCATTCTCCTACTTATTAGACCATTTCTCTGACTTCTCCCTGGCTTTCCTTTTACTGCTAAGCAACACTGCTTCCCAGCACCTTATCTCTGACTCTTCTCTGACTACACATACTTGCTGTTTCTGTCTCTACTTCCCACCTGTTCATTGTTCATTATTTATGAATTATATCCAGTCGAGTCTTGTTTTTTAAGCTATTGGGGAGGTATTCCAACTCCCTGTAGATGTTTTACATTAATGTCTTATGTCAAACTCTGTATGTAGAACTGAATCTACTTTTCACTCTGTTACAATGCCTGTATTGACCCTAGTGTGGGTCAGGACTTCCCACACTAGGGTTATGGAGATGACTGAACATGCAGGTACCTGACACTGGGCCTGATGAGCTTGGCCGCAATTTATTATTTGCTTGTACACATATCTGGAGGCAGAGGACACTGCATGCCTTATGGGTTTGCAATTAGGAAGGGAATGAACAGTCGTTCCAGGAGGCAGGCTTTGTAGTGTCAAGAAAGTGATGTGCCCTTTGGTTTCCTTGTGAAGGTGTGATTGGCTTGTTTTCTGAGGGCTGGCAGGGAGCAGAAACCTACTACTCAGAAATAAACAGGAACTGCACCTGATTGTTTGATAAGCAGGGTTTGGGGCCTAGGGCACATTCTCCTTGGGAGAACAGTGGGTCACTGTCCTTAGGTCATTACAGGTCCTTCTATTTATCCCATGTTGAGGCAGTATGTAATATGGAGCTTTAATTTTAGGTTTCAAACCACACACTCCCAAATCCTGTTTCTCCTCCTATATTGCTTAGGATAGAAAATTAAAATATTTAATTTTATAACATGCTGGTGACAGTATAAAGGAGAGAAATTTGGCAACATATTCACACTAGCAACTTTAAAAATTTTCTTACCCTTGTAATTTTTTTCACCCCAAAAATTAAGGTGATAAAATAATATTGTAACATAGGAAATTTGGAAAACAAAAGACTGCCAAACTTTTATTTTTGTTTTAGGTCTTTCTGGTTTTTTCTTTAATAGATTGTATACCTGTTTGCAATAGTATCAAAACTTCTGAAGAATTTCATAATCTTCTTTCTTAAGTGCTTTCTCATATTATATCATAAAGTGGTTTTCAATATTTTCATATAGGATTCATTAATATTGCTTTTAGTTGAATGTATAATGTTTCTCTAAGTGAATATACAATACTTAACCATTTCCTCGTTGATGCTAGACATTCATTCAGTTTTTTCTTTTTTCCACTTACCAAGTAAATTTAGCTTTTGCCTACTTTAGATTATATTTTATCAGCTTAAAGTCTGTGGTTCTTGATACATATTAGAAGCTATCTTGAAAGTGCTCCTGGGTGGTAAAAGTAATCTTGTACATCTCTCTGTTCTGTACAGGTTCGTGGTTATGATTTCAAAGCTGACATCTGGAGTTTTGGGATCACAGCCATTGAACTGGCCACGGGGGCAGCTCCTTATCATAAGTATCCGCCAATGAAGGTAAGGCTTATAACCACAATACTATCCCAGCTCATGTCTCAGTTCTCTTTCAGAGGGTTACCTCATTTGACATTCTTTTTTAAGAATTATGTAGATTTATTAGTATATGAACAAGTATTTTTATATTAAAAAGCACTATGTGAATGTAAGAGTTTATAAAAATAGTAATTGTTCTCATTTACACTAACTCAGCCATTCATATTAGCATTTTGTCCTCCATTTGCATGTAAATAACACACATATCTGGAGCGCTTGTGTTTGTGGGATCATTTGACATTCTTATCCATCGTATTCTGCCCTGCATTCCTTCTAACTTCTTCAGCAGTTAGAATATCTTTTAGATATTTGGTATGTTACACTGGGTAGCTTTACATTGTAGCTGACCTTCTTATTTGAATGACTCACCATCTCCTGACTATGTAGCTAGTTTGATGTTCGGATCTAATCTGTCTCGTTTTAGTGTGTGTTCCCCCACAGTCACCTGTGTAGAGCAGCCTCAGTGGGGATGATGATCATTTCTACCTCTTAAGGTTGTTGGAAGAGTTGCATGTTAACCGTAGTTACTGTTGACATTCATTGAGCACTCATCTGTGTCAGCTACTGTTTTTAAGTGCTTTTTGTATGTTAGATCCATGCAGATTGTTCATGTTCCATACATATGTATTGTTTTCTTTGTTATTGAATACAAGTTTGCTTTGTGGTAAGACTCTAAGCATCTTTTGTTTAAGGACCTGTTACATCCTGAAGAAGTGTGTGTGTGTGTGTGTGTGTGTGTGTGTGGGCTCAGTTGCTCAGTTGTGTCTCTTTATGACCCTATGGACTGTAGGACACCAGGCTCCTCTGTCTGTAGGATTATCCAGGCAAGAATACTGGAGCGGGTTGCCATTTCCTACTCAAGGGGATCTTTCTGACCCAGGGATCAAACCTGTGTCTCTCGTGTCTCCTTCATTGGCAGATTTCCTACCACTAACGCCACCTGGGAAGCCCCCATCCTGAGGGAATAGTTACCCGAAATGTAGTTATTAATCCTAATGTCCCCAGCATTAGTAATAAATGAGTTTTTTGTGTTTCAAGAATGTCCTGCCAGTACTGTTGGCAACCATTTTCATCTGTGTGACCCCTAAGTGAGAATATGCACGTGAATTCTATTTGTAGCTCTAGCCATTGTTTATAGTCTTGCTTGCCCGCTTTACAAAATGCCTTATGATTGTTTAAAATGGTGAGTACCATTGTGAATTTTTGTCATAGTGATATTCATGTATTTATGTTCTTGGAGCACTTTAGAACCTTTAAAATGTTACTCTGTCCCCTTTAAGGCACTAAGAACGTAAAGGGAGACAAAATCAGTAAGGATAATAGGAAAAACCTCTCTGAATGTCCATATTCAAAACGTTTGTATATATTTTTTAACCTATATGTTTGATGGGTGAAAGGTTAGTGATACTTTAAGGCCTTGGTTTTTTCCTAAAGGTCAAGACTGCTTAGGTGTAAATGAATATTCACAAGGTTTTGAAAAGGATTACTCTTTATAACTGTAAGATGGGAGGCTATTTTGAGGCCCAAGAAATGGCTTATTTTTGAAAGGAGGTCAGAGAGAAAGATGAGGTTTACTTTATATTATTGTAGGCAGTGACTCCTGAAGTTGTAGCCAGACATACACATGTTAACCTATTTGCTCAAAATGAGAAATACTTGCAACCTTAGTAATCCCCTTTTAGTAAATATAAATTAAATCTGAATGGCAAATAACAATTCTGACTATAGCCTTTTAATTTTGGTTTTGACTTTGTGCTTAGAAAAATGGGTTATACTTTTATTGAAAAGTCAAATAGTATAGAAAATCACCCCAAATTGCCTCATATTAATAGGACCTTTGTTACTTTGTCTCTATGCATCAAGATAGTGTGTTGCCATGTAAGTCAAAGAAAGGAGAGATTCAGGATGGACAGTTGCTGCAGGGAAGGTTGAAAGAATGCAAACTAAAAAGGTTATAGCTTTGTTAACTAGTACATCATCAGTGATTGCTGTGATCTAAGTTTTTGAGGAGTTCTGGGAAGAGAAGTCCAGGTTACAAGGGGTCAAGTTGAAATAGAGCTATGAATAGGTAAAGTTAGCAAGGTCACACTCTTTAATTTTGCTATGGTTTTTTTTTTTTTTTTTTTAAGTTTGCTGGTGTAAGAATTGGACAGAAGACATGAAGGAAAGATTTCAACTAAAGTACATACAATACAGTGCTGATACAGTTTAGCCTTTGCAGGCACATTGCCTGAGAAGCCAACTGTCTATAGGATATTATTTATCTGGAAAACACCTAAATAGCTCTAGTTTCCAAACAACTGATCTAGATGTGAACTTTCAGATAATAAAATCTGCTCAGATGTTTGGAGGTTGTCTATACTGAAAAATTGTGGCCACAATATTTGATTACTGAATCTTCAGAAGTTTACATTATGTTGAAAATTCTCACAGGTTTTAATGCTGACACTGCAAAATGATCCTCCTTCTTTGGAAACTGGTGTTCAAGATAAAGAAATGCTGAAAAAATACGGAAAATCATTTAGAAAAATGATTTCATTGTGCCTTCAAAAAGATCCAGAAAAAAGGTAAAATATGAGATAAAACTTATCCTCTTCATATAATATGTAAACCATCGGGAATCACATGCATACATACATACGTGTGCAGAGAATTAAAAAGAACTAAACTTAAACATTAGAAAAAATATACACTGACCATTATACTAAATTGAAAATGAGTGAATTATATATTTTCTCCTTTCTTTTTAGTATACAGTGCACCCTAAATAGTTAAGCTATTTCTTGGTTAATTTCTTAGAGTTATAAATGTATTTGTTAATGAGCTGCAAAGTTAGTGGGAGGGCTTATTTTTAATTTGCATTTAAGAGTTATAAGTAAACCAGTATCTTAATGCTCTTTTTGATTTTATTAACAGGGGAAATAACAAATACTATATTTAATGTCAAATAGTCATACTTCCTTATTGGAGATGTATTTTAGTTAAGTAGAGCAAAAAATCAAATAGCTTATTGTTAACACTAGAAAGATTGAATGGCAGGTGAGTTAAAGAAACGTGATCATCTAATATGTGTATCTGTGAATTAAACAGAAGTATAGAAGTTAAAGATTATTGCATATAATTTTTTATCTTTGAGGTCAGTCAAAACTCCTGATTCCTAACCTTGGGCCCTGTTCTCTATCATATTTTTCTGTTTCATGTGGTGTATAGACCACTCAGTTTCGTAGCACTAAAAGATTTTTAATTTTGATTTTTCTAAAGCTCAACAAAACTAAAAGGTTTGAATTGACTTCCTTAATCATGTCTTTAGTATATTTAATGGGCTTCAGAATTTACTGTTGGAAATATTGGAAAGGGTAAGAAAAATAGGCAGCTAAGTTCAAACCTGTGGTTTTAGAACTTTTTTCCTCTTTCTTAATACAGTGGTATTAAAACATAGGGAACACTTACTTCTGCCAAATTAGTTGACTGAAATAACAGAATTCTGTTACAAACACCTAGAAATTCTGGATAAATCTATCAGACTTAAATAACAAGAATAGAGATGAGCTATAATAAAGGGAGGTCTTCAGATGCCAGAATCAATAAGGAAGCCATAAATCCAAGAACTATTATAAACTAATCCTGTGGCTGCCTTCAGTATGACACTATTCATTCTAATAACCTACTGGTTTGGATTTTTAACTTCCAAGTGGGGACTAAAAATGAGATATAGAGCCCACCCATATGGGGATTTTGTACTAAGATTTCTGCCTAAAGCTAGAACATTCATAAGTCTGCATCCTGAGTGAAAGGATAGATCAAAGAACAACAACAACAAAAATCTGTTATAACAGAAACACAACAGAAATCTTTCCTGAATAATCACGCCCTCTGACATGGACACTCTGAATTTATTTATTTATTACAGTCTGAATTTATACCCATATTATCCAGGGACCCACAGGATTAGAAAGTAAAACAGTTATTACTAAGCCAGTTTTGTTTCTGGCAGAAGCAATCAGAAACTGCACTGTTAGACTACTTCCAAAACACAGGTCCCTGCAATTCTTGTACTGAAGAGATCACAATCCAGAATTACAGAACACACAGTGAAACACCACACTGTGGACCGGAAGCAACGTTCGAAGAAATAATGGCGAGGAATATTCTGAATTGATGACATACCTGTATTTTCAGGCTAAGGAATTATTGTCCTAGATTCCAAGCAGTATCCCTCTTTTTCCACTTGTATACATTGTCATGAAACTAATGGACACAAATACAAAGAGAAGGTCTTAAGTGCGGCCTGAGAGAACAGATTACCTAACTGAGGAATAGCAGGCAGATGGACAAACCACTTCCCCGATAACAACAGTTAAGACCAGACACTTTGGTGGAACAATGCTGAGAGAAAATAACTGTTAACCCAGAATTCTCTAATTCTCTAAATCTAGTCAAACTGTCATTCACCAGTAAGCATGAAATAATTTTCAGTCAAAAATTGAGTTTTCCAGTCATGTTTTATCACTTAAAGAACTCCTCTGAAGTGTATTTTAGAAAGAAGGAAATGAGCCCATAAGAAGGGAACAAATAAGAAGCAGTGTTGTACGAACTGTTAAACATGCTGAAATTGTGACTGAATGAAAAAGTAGGAATGGTAATGTCTACTTCGAGTTTGCATAGCACTTCCACATTTATTCTCTCTTTTAATTTCTATGAGAATCCTCTGAGGCCCTGGTTCTCAAGCTTGAGTGCATTTTGGTGTCACCTTGAGAGCTTTAAAAACTGTACCCAAGTTTGCCCCCACAGATTTTGCTGTTTAACTGTTACAGGGAACAGCCTGGGATTTTTTATATTTATAAGATAGTTTATTTCTCTCTTGTGTAACAGTTCCCATCTGGTATGCCAACTGTATTCCAGGAGGGCAATACAAAACCTAGGCTACCTGCTGTCTTGTTCTTACATAGCTAGATTATGACCCTCATCTCTTTAGTCAAAAGGATTTTTTTTTAACTCCCAGATATTATAATGCACAGCAGTGTTTAAGAATCACTGCTTTTAGGGATTTAGCCAGGTAATACTGAACCTTAAAGAAGTGACTTGTTCAGTGTTACATAGTAGGTATGTGGCGTCAGTTAGATCCAATTTCTTAAGTGTAGCATTGTTTATTCTTTATTCTTATACTAGTTTGTGAAGTTGACAACAATACCTGTACTCAAATGAAGTAAGACTGTGCACAGTTAAAAACTAAGTTTAGATTAAATTTGGAAACTATATATTACTCTTAGAATCTTCAGTTTTTTATAGGAAATTGTGAAATTATTTTTTAAGAATGTGTAATTACGTAAGTTGAGACTTACAGGTAATTATGTGGCAAGAAGCACTGTTCTTGATTTGTCAGTTTAAATATATACTTTTTGCTTCTTTAAAGTAGATAAAGCCAACTTCGTGGGAAATAATATTAAATAGCAAATATATTGAAAGCCATTAAGAAATCATGCTTCTAAAAGAAACATTTCACTAATGAATTTTTGCAAGAACCTACAATCATTGTTACCAGAAAATTTCTATTTGAGTTTTTAAATTCTATTCAGTGCCTTGTACTGAGCTTTTCCTTTTTCATTTTTAGCAGGTTAAAGACAGTGGAGTACTCTGAGTTTTTATCTTGATGCTCAAGAAATCATGTTTTCATTTTTGAAGATGAAAACCCACATTCCACTTCAATTAACTATAAAAACTTTCTTTTCTGGTTTTAGACCAACAGCAGCAGAACTGTTAAGGCACAAGTTTTTCCAAAAAGCCAAGGTAGGACATTCTAACTTGGTTTCATGTATTCAGATGATCCCCCTCAAACACCTACATGAGGTTTACTATTCAGAGGTTGTATTACCTTCAGATGATTATTTTTGGAAGGATGATGGTAGGTCAGATAATTGCTGGGGCCGTTATTTAGACAGTCTTTCATATTTAAGTTAAATATATTTTTCTATAAATTCATTTAAGTGTCAGGTAAAACTTAAAACAGGAAAAATGAATATTACCACTATAAATAAAATCTGTGGAAAATCCTGTGAAATATACTGAACTATCATTTCAGGGTTTACTACTGAATTTGTAAACATGTCATTTCCCAAAGATTTGGGATAAATAAGATGTTATTGTAGTTGGGAAATGTGGGACCACAATCCCAAAGGACATATGTTAAAGCAAACTTTTCATAGATGGTGGTTCATACAATACATTAAAGCTTTGTCTCAATGTATAAAGTCATGGTAGTAGTATATTAAAGGATCTTCAGAATGAAAGAATAGAAGCTTTTCTCAAACTTTATAAAAACAGTTACTATATCACATTAATTGTGGTGAATATTTCTATGTCAATTTTTTTGTTCATTAAAAACTTCTTATGAAAAGAAAACTTATTTTTCCTCTCCAGAATAAAGAATTTCTTCAAGAAAAAATATTGCAGAGAGCACCAACCATTTCTGAAAGAGCTAGAAAGGTAAATGTGGATTTAACTCAGTTTTTTTGAAAAATTAGAAGTTTTACTTTTGCATTTTGAAAGTGTATTTGACTAATACTATGTTAACAGTATGAATATTACTCATTTTCTTTCAGTCTTTTCTTTAGCATGCTTGATATATTCTTTTAGCAATAGTCTATGCCTCAGTAGTACTCCACTTTCAACTGGAATGAAAAAGGATGGTACATAATCAATTAATTATAAGTTGTGTTAAATCACTGTTTTCTACTACCGAAGTGAGTTGGGAAGTTGGGAAGTTTCTTTCCACCATACAGAAACAATGAAGACACCACTTCACACCCACCTGAATAACTATAACAAAACAGACAGACAATAACAAGTATTGATAAAGATGTGGAGAAATTGGAATCCTCACACATTACTGATGGAAATGGAAGATGGTATGGTCACTTTTGTGGCAGTTTCTCAAAAGACTGAACAAAGTTGCTGTATGACCCAGCAAGTCTAGTCCTAGCCATACCCAAGTGAATTGAAAACTTGTATACATAAAAATATGTACATGAATGTTCATGGAAGTTTTATTCGTAGCTAAAATGTGAAAACAAACTGAATGTCCATCTACTAATAAATGGATATAGAAAATGTCATGAACCTATACAATGGAATATTATTCAGCAGTAAGAAGGGGTGAAGTACTGATACATGGCATAGCATGGATGTACCTTTAAAACATTATGCTAACTGAAAGACATATTCTGTGATTCTGCTTATGTGAAATATCCAGAACAAGCAAACGTATAGAGACGGAAAGTAGATTATTGATTGCCTGGGACTTGAGCAGATTGTAAGGGAATGGATAGGACTGCTAATGGGTATGGGATGTTTTGTGGGAAGTGGAGGGAGTGATGAAAATGATTGAAATGTGATTGTAGAGATGGTTTTTCAACTCTGAACATACTAAAAATCATTGGCTTGTAATACCTTAAATGGATCAATGTTTTATGAATTATGCCTTAGCTGTTAATTTAAGAAAAGAAGCATTTAAAGAATGGCACTACCACCAACAAAAAGCTCTTGAGAATTGAAAACATTATAGAAAAAATGGAAAAATTCATTACAAAGATTTTAGGGTAAAGTTAAGGAAATTTTCCGGAAAATAGAGCCAAAAAGCCAAGAGACAGAAAAGATGAGAACATTAGAGGATTATTTGAGAAGGGTCAATGTTTAAGTAAAAGGAGTTCCAGAAAAGGAAAACTGAGAAAAACAGAAGAAAAAATATGAAAAATTATTCAAGAAAAATTTCATGTATTTCCAGTTTGAAAGAGCTCAGGTACCCAGCACAATGAATGGAAATAGACCAACACTAAAGCACATTTCCATGGTAGCTCAGAATGCTGTTGCTGTTGTTCAGTTGCCCAGTCATTTCCAGCTCTTTACGACCCCATGGACTGCAGCACTCCAGGCCTCCCTGTCCCTCACCATCTTCTGAAGTTTGCCCAAGTTCATGTTCATTGTATCAGCTTGGAATACTGGAGGTGAAAAGATCCTGTAGCCTTCCAGAGAATGGGGAAAGGTTACAGATAGAATCAACAGTCATAAGGACCTCAGTAGCATGTGTGGAAGCCACATCACAATGGAGCTTTACATTGAACATTAGGGAAAAAAAAATGTTTTCTAACCCAGAATTGTTTTCTTTTTCTACCAGGCAAACTATTAAGTGGAGTGTAGGAATGGAATCAAATTATGTTCAGAAATGCATGGCTTTAGTAAATATACCATGCTAATAGTAGAGTAAGTGCTTAAAATAAGAATAGGGAAGTCATGTGATTGAGGAAGCATAGTCCTCTGGTTGATAGAGTGATATCTGAGGTACCAAACCTGGTGTCAGTCTGATGGAACAGATCGCAGGGCTCTGGTGAGAGGCTTCCTCTAGAAGATGATACTGATGAATACCTAATGTATATGAGTATGACGAGAGGAGGTTTACATAACAGGGAGAGAATCTGGGGATAAATATGACAAGTAAGAAATAAGCAGGACTTCCCTAGTGGTCCAGTGGTTAAGAATCCACTACCAATGCAAGGGACAAGGGTTTGATCCCTGGTCCAGGAAGATTCCACATGCCATGGGGCAACTAAGCTCATGTGCTGCAACTACTCAGCCCACACTTCGGAGCCTGTGCTCCGAATCAGAAGTCCACACACTGCAGCTAGAGAATATCCCCCCTCCTCGCTGCAATTTGAGAAAGGCCGCATGCAGCAACGAAGACCCAGCACATCCAAAAATAAATAACTATTTTGTTAAAGAAAGAAAGCAAATATTAACTCCAGGGGAAATAAAAAAGTTCTGCAGGAAAGAAAAGAAATTGTAATATATATGGTTCAACTGTATAGTTTATATAATCATGTTATATAAACATTGATTTACCCATTTATCAGGGAGCAGGGGGGAAAGGAGAGCATTTTCCTTTTGTCATTCACCCTCAGAAATAAACAGACACAAAACAGAAGATATTTATTGTCGGTAACGTTTACGGCCATGATAGAGCCCTCTTGCTAGTGAAACAAAAATAATGGCATTCTTAAAAAAGTGAGGGGATGCTAAGATCATACATAAGATGATTGTTGATATATTTTCAAGAATCTGTAAGAAAATGTTTCATATAGGCCTATCATGAAGCATTTTATAATTTTCCTTTGCATAAATATATCAATTTATGATTCTCCATATATTTATATGAAGGGGCTTCTTGTTGGAAATATTGTTCTCATACGTATAGGAAAGCCTCCCTTGTGGGTTTTCCAGTTTACCATAATTATTATCCAGAAGACATACTGGAAGTTTTCTTGGGTGTACATGTAGAGTACACCACAGTGAGAAGTTCTTTAGAGAAAGACCTGTCATCAGCAATAACCCTCATTTTTGTAACTGTGAAAACTTTAACACGGGTGATATTCTTAAAGGTTTTCTAAAGTGAGAACCACCTCATAAAACTTTTTATGTGAAAGTTTAAAATTCTAAAGTTGTTAATTAAATGTCTAATATAGTCCAAACATGTTGACTTTAGAAAACAAACCGAATTTTGCAAAGGAAGGCAAACTTGAAAATAAGCCAGGATCTTCATGTGGAATACAATTTGACCTAAGTAGTTGTTTGAAAACTGGCCTCAATCAGTCTAACAGCATTGTTAGGCCTGTTATATAGAAGTACATATTGAATTTTATAAATTTTAATTTATTGTTTAAATTACTATGCATTATCCAGGTTATAAAGGTGATCTTATTTGTTTTATATAATTCTGTCATTTAGAGTAGTTTTCATTTTATTTAATTGTATTGAAATTATGCATGCATCTATTTCAGTGCCTTAAAGTATTTTGAAAGCAATCTTGATAATGGTTAAAGAACTGTTGTCTTAAAGATGAAACACTGTTCATTAAAAGGATCTGTGAAATAATTTATATTTGTTTGTTATAAATTAGTTACATATAGATGCATTTGTCATTTTTATTTGCAAAGACATTCAGTTTGAGAATCAACAAACATTTATTAGGTGCTTTCTATTTGCCAGGTACTTTAACCAATGTTACTTTGTCATTTTTATTTGCAAAGACATTCAGTTTGAGAATCAACAAATATTTATTAGGTGCTTTCTATTTGCCAGGTACTTTAACCAATGTTACTTTCATTTAATACTCAGAAGTGTTAAAATGTGATATTTTTAAACTAAAAAAAAAACACAATTGATTTACCCAAAATTACAATGTGTCTTGAAAAAAGAGTAGGGAATTAATAATAGGGTTAAATTCACATCTTCTGTAACAAGAAGTCAATAGATAATTTCTAAAACCAGAAAATCAAGGGGTAATAATAAGAACAGATTACTCAGATAAATATATATACATTCTAAAAGAATAAGCTAAAATGAATTGAAAGTGGTTGCCTGTGGGGAAGAAGATGAAAGTTAGGGCACTGCTCTTTTTCTTAACATTTGCACAGCTGTAATACTCTTGAACTGGCAAGTATAATTGTGATTTTAAAAGTTAAAATAAAAAAAAAACCCATAAACTTCTTTATCTTGAACGTATTTATTTGGGGTTTAAACTGCCCTGATTTTTTTCTTGATATCTGAAGATATGAAGCCATTACTCAGATTTCATATGACTTCACATAAGAGGGATTTGGATGGTGTGCAGACTCAGACTACCAAAGTACAGGGAAAGTCGGTGGTTGTGAATAAAGACAAACAGTGCAGATGAGGACCAGAAAGCAAGTGAAGGGTGGTGGATGTGACTTTACATGGGAAAACTTATTTATGGGGAAAATTATTATCTGCTTACTGTGTTGAAGTAATAGAAGGAGAGAGAAATATGATTGACTTTTCTGTACCATAAGTGTCAAACACTAGCACAGTCCATGTCTCTCTTCCTAATGAGCAGGTTCGGAGAGTACCAGGTTCCAGTGGCCGTCTTCATAAGACAGAAGATGGTGGCTGGGAGTGGAGTGATGATGAGTTTGATGAAGAAAGTGAGGAAGGAAAAGCAGCAATTTCACAACTCAGGGTGCGTTTTGTTAAACTATATGCTTTATAGAGTTCTGTTTTACTGTTTGAAGCCTCTGAGATAATACTATATTCTGTGGTTCTGTTCAGCTTAACCAGCTAAAATATTAAAAAATACAGACAAAAAAAAAATACAGACAGAATATTTTGAACACCTTATTAACAACAGGAGCCCAAGTAAATCTCCATGGAGAGGGGGACTGCAATATCAGTTTTACTGTGATAATATTTAGGGTGTATAAAAATGACCTAAATTGAGAAAAGAGAACTGTAATGTCTGAGATAAAAGTACACTGGATTGGATTAATGGCTGATGAGACATTTCAAAAGAAAGGATTAGTGAACTTGAAAGCCTCACAGTTGAAACCTAGTCCCTAAAATTTGTTAACCTTCTATCTGAAGAGGAACAGTGTACCTTATTTTCATTTTGTATATCCTGGATAGTGTGAGTGTGTTAGTTTTTGCTGGAAATAGACACCAAGACAGGAAATGAGCAAATAACGTTTGAAAAATGGCACTGATAGACTTGCTCAATTCAGGATTGCCACAAATCTTTGATTTGTAAATAAACAAACTATGATATGTACAAAGTACAGTAAAGAAAGCATAGTGCAATAAAATGACATGGGCCTGTATTTTAAAGAATTTGTTCCAAAGTTTTCTTATTTGCATTGTTTCCAGTGTGAAATCTGCTTGTTTACCTACCTTATTCATTTACAAGTCACATTTCTTTTAACTTTGACTGATTTTAAGATTATTTTCCTTATGAATGGTTTTGAGCAATTTGATTATGATATACCTAGATTTTTTTTTTTCACATTTCATATTTAGGGTTTATTGAGCTTCTTGAATCTTTGGGTTTACACTGTTTTTTAAGTTTGGAAAGTTCTCAGCTATCATATTTTCAAATAGTTTTTTCTGTCCTTCCACCTTGGAGAGTCAGATAACATGTATATTAGGCTTAAAGTTGTCTGACTGCTCATTGATCTTTTCACTTTTTAAAAATTCTTTTTTCCTCAGTTTCATTTTGCATAGTTTCTATTGCTAGCCTGTTCATCATTCTTTCCTTCTGCAGTGTTAATCTGCTACTAATGCCATGCAATCTCTTTTTCAACTCAGACATAATGCTAGAGTTGTGATTTGGTGTTTGGTTTGGTTGTTAGATACTTAAAGTTAGGTGTTTGCTTTTGCATCTTCCGTGTCTCTCCTTAACTTTTTGAAGTTATGTAATATAATTATTTTAATGTCCTTCTCTGCTGATTCCAACATCCAGGTCAGTTTGGGGGCAGTTTTATTTGATTGATTATTCTTTTCATTGTGGCTTGAAAAGTGTTTTCCCAAGTTGAGTAAATAAAAGTAAAAAATGAAATCATATAAAATTTGATAGATTGCCAGGAAGGAGAGAGTTATCCAGAGAAAAAAGCTTAGAGCTTCCCTTTTGAGTATTTAGCAGAATATAGTTATCGATTACCGTATGTGAAAAAACTACCCATGTGGAGAACAGTGCCCAGCACTCACACAGCCAGAAACAGCAGCCAGACTGGAGAAATTTAAAATTCACAGGACATTCTGTAGAGTTCTCAGTAATGGGGTATAATATATTAACCTAGACTGAACACTGCTCCAGACCCAACTAAAACTCATCAAAGCAGGATCCAGAAGGATTAAACTGTTTCCAGTAGCTTAACTGTATTCCAGAACAAAGCTTCAAGATTTATAGAAATACAAAATTAGCATCATGCAACAAGGTGAAATTCAGTGTCCGGCATCTAATCGAAGATTACAAGTACGCAGAATGTCAGGAAAACAGTAAGAGTAAGCACACTTTTTGCCCAGCTCTTGGTTTCGAATGCCATGCCCTACTAAAAGAACAAAGGCTCACTGGAGAAATGGCTGATTCCAGGGCTTACACAGGGAAAATATAAGATAAATCTGGGATATCTTGTTTTGACAGAAAAGGTTTTTTATTTTTAATAATGTAAGAGCCAAGTTGAAGGAGCTCCCACTAGCAAAATTAGGGAGAATTTAACCATCAAAATCATAAAGTGTAGAAATAATTATAACTCATTAAAAGAGTAGGAGTCAATAGGCCTATACAAGTAATACATAGATATATAAATAAATGGGGAGAAAAGGATGATTTTTCATTACAATAAACTGCCAGTGGTGGTAAATCTAGGAGTGCATGGGGAAATTCATCATTTTACACCCATCATAAAGCAATCATAAAGATCATCAGTGGGTGCTAAATAAATGGGAAATCTATGATAAACAGGCTATTTATTTACATGGTCTTCTAGTATCTCTCCATAGATTGCCTATTAGTTGCAAGGGGAAAAATAGCTACTGCCCTACCTGAGAAATCAGAAGATGTCTTGACTCAATGATTAAAATTAACATCACTAATGAGGGTCACAGGATACATGAGATTCTCTAAAACACGGTACCGTAAGAAGATAATCACTATGTAGAATTCATTTCAGTTTGAATCATGAAGAAACATCAGAGCCCAAATTCAGTTCAGTTCAGTCGCTCAGTCATGTCCGACTCATAGAACAGTCTATTCAGAATATGTACTAGGCAGGGAAAGTGATTATGTGTCAGATAAAATCTAGAGAGACATGATGACTGACTGCAGTACATGATCCTAGACAGAATCTTATACTAGAAAAACAAAGGCCCTAAAGGATAGTATCAAGTCATTGGAAAAGCTGGATTATGGATAGTTAATTAAAGTATTATCGTTAAATTTACTGAAATTGATAATTTTCGTAGAGTGAAGTTCTGTAATAGAATATTCCTATTCTTAAGTACACAAGTATTCAGTTGTAAAGAGCCATGATTATATACAACTTATTCTCAAATGGTACATTATTGATTAAATATATATAAAAAGAAAGAAAGTGAACACTAATAAAGCACATAAGGAGAAAGGTTAATATTGGATGAGTCTGGGTAAAAAGTATGGCAGTGTTCTTTGTATTATTCTTATTCTAACAATTTTTCTGTAAGTTTGAATTATCTCCAAACAAAGTTTTTTTTTTTAAGGTATTTTTTTGTTGGCATATACTTGCTGTGATACCTTAGGTATTGCATGAACCTTGATTCTCATTAATGAAATGGTAATGAAAAATTTAAAAACCTATAAATTGACCTTAATCCACATTCACACTTGGTAGAATTTACCATAAATTGAATTTGTTTAGAGATATGTTGTTGTTTTTTTAATTTTCCAGTGCTTGTATCCAGAATTACTGGTAACTTATGATTTACTAAATCAGTTTAACTTTAAATTTTCATATGGCAGATTATAATTGGAATTTCAGTTTTGGCTCAAGTTTTCTTTATTGAAGTCCATAATCAGAATTACTCTGCTTTAAGAATATATTGGATAATTAGCTTGAATGTTTACATTTAATGTGAGAAATTACGCATGTAATATGTTGATGACTAGTAGAAAGAATTGTACTTTGAAGAATGTGACCTCCTTACTACCTGATAGTCCCTTTATGTTTGCTTATAAACTTCAAGTTCTGAACTCTTAATATTGATACATTACAGGCTAGCTGGATAAAGAATTCAGTCATATCATTTTAGTTTTCTTTTTCCAGAAAACTCACTAGAGTTACCGATGATTTAATTATGGATCAGAATGAAATGGAGTTGACTTGCATTTCACCATTCCGTGCAGTTTTGGAACTGACTACAAGTAACCTGAGTTTTCAGTTAACAAGCCTCCTTTTTTTGTATTTCTTTTAGTCTCCCAGAGTGAAAGAATCATTAACAAATTCTGAGGTAAGTAGTTGTGATAGTTGAATCATTAAAGTATATGTGCTTTTGTTTTGGTTTTAATGTTAAGCACATTTTTTGTATGTGCTTAAATAGGAATGGGAATTTATACTAGTCAAATGGCATGATAGGAAATCCTACTAAACAGACTCCTGTTAGGCTGACCTGTCTTATGCTTACTGCATCCTCAGTCAAGTGTGACTCTTTGCTACTCCAAGGACTGTGGCCTGCTAGGCTCAGGAGGAAACAGCAACCCACTCCAGTATTCTCGCTTGGAAAATTCCATGGACAGAGGAGCCTGTTGTTGTTCAGTCCTAAGTCATGTCAGACTCTTTGCAACCCCATGGACTGCAGCACACCAGATTTCCCTGTCCTCCACCATCTCCACCTGTTTGTTCAGATTCATGTCCATTGAGTCAGTGATGCAATCTAACCATCTCATCCTCTGCTGGTCTCTTCTCGTTTTGCCTTCAGTCTTTGCCAGCATCAGGGTCTTTTCCAATGAGTGGGCTCTTTGCATCAGTTCAGTTCAGTCGCTCAGTCCTGTCTGACTCTTGGCAACCCCATGAACCGCAGCACGCCAGGCCTCCCTGTCCATCACCAACTCCTGGCCACCCAAACTCATGTCCACTGAGTTGGTGATGCCATCCAACATCTCATCCTCTGTCATCCCCTGTTCCTCCTGCCCTCAATCTTTCCCAGCATCAGGGTGTTTTCTAATGAGTCAGCTCTTCGCATCTGGTGGCGAAAGTATTGGAGTTTCACCGTCAACATCAGTCCTTCCAGTGAATACCCAGGACTGATCTCCTTTAGGATGGATTGGTTGGATCTCCTTGCAGTCCAAGGGACTCTCAAGAGTCTTCTCCAACACCACAGTTCAAAAGCATCAATTCTTCTGTGCTCAACTTTCTTCATAGTCCAACTCTCACATCTATACGTGACTACTGGAAAAACCATAGCCTTGACTAGACGAACTTTTGTTGACAAAATAATGTCTCTGCTTTTTAATATACTTTCTAGGTTGGTCATAACTTTCCTTCCAAGGAGTAAGCATCTTTTAATTTCATGGTTGCAGTCACCATCTGCAGTGATTTTGGAACCCAAAAAAATAAAATCAGCCACTGTTTCCCCATCTGTTTGCCATGAAGTGATGGGACCAGATGCCATGATCTTAGTTTTCTGAATGTTGAGCTTTAAGCCCACCTTTTCACTCCTTTTTCACTTTCATCAAGAGGTTCTTTAGTTCTTCTTCACTTTCTGCCATAAAGGTGGTGTCATCTGCATATCTGAGGTTATTGATATTTCTCCCGGCAATCTTGACTGCAGCTTGTTCTTCATCCAGCTCAGCGTTTCTCATGATGTACTCTTTGCATCAGGTGGCCAAAGTATTGGAACTTCAGCTTCAGCAACAGTCCTTCCATATTAATAAAGTGTTAGTCACTCAGTCATGTCTGACTCTTTGAGACCCTATGGACTAGAGCCTGCCAAGCAAGAATACTGGAGTGGGTTATCATTCTCTTTTCCAGGGGATCTTCCCGACCCAGGGATTGAACACAGGTCTCCTGCGTTGGAGGCAGATTCTTTACCATCTGAGCCACCAGGGAAGCCCATATTAATAATAATAGGCATTTTCAAAACTAATCTTAAAGTTCTGTTCTTCTATCAAAAATTAAAACCAGTAGGTAACTTGGTTTCCTCTCTGTCAAGCACAGCGAACACAAAATTTTAATACGTCCTTGTCTCCTTGATTTTGCTTATATGATAACAGCTATTAGATCTCTCATTGCCCTTTTAATTTTTTTTTCTCTTTTAACTCTAAATTTTGGCCATTGCATTGATACTGTTTTCCCTACTAACTTATAATTTTGAATATGTTTAACTTGACTTTGTGTTCAACATTGATCTTTTTTCCCAAAGTTACGTAACTAAAATTTGTGAAATTTTCAAACATGCAAAATAATGTTTAATGTTATAAAGCTTCACATTCATTTTGAAATGCATTTCAGATATGTTAAGGAATCACTGGTTGATCTTCTTTCTTTATAAGTAAAGGAGGGTCCCCAATATAGGAAAGTGTCGCTTCTAGAATTTCATAGTATATACTTAAGTCTATATATTGTAGGTGCTGCTTTGCTGGGCAAAGGAGATGGCATAGATATAGTTAAAAATAAATATGATACAAAGAATTACTGTTCTGAAGAAGGAAAAAAAAATGGACTACTGGTACTTGCTACAACATGACTGATTAAAAAAACTGTGCTAAGAAGCCAGACACAGAGTGCATATTGTAAGATTTGGTCTATATGATATGTCCACAAAAGACAAATTGATAGAGGCTGAAAGTAGATCAGTGGTTGCCTGAGGCTAAATGTGGGAGTAGGAGTTCACTATAAATGGACACAGAAGTTTTTGAGTTTATAGAAGTGCTGAAACCTGATTGTAGAGATATTTATACACGTATAAATTTTCTAAAAACCATTGAGTTGTATACTTAAATAGGTAGATTTAGTGGGACATAAACTTACACCTCAAAAGTTCTTAAAAACAGAAAAGCATAGACGTATTTGACTTCCATTTGAAAGCGGTGTACTGAGGTTGCAGAGATGGGCCAGTTCACTACACAAGAACTACTTGAAAAGGTCGCCCCTCCTAACACTGCTCGACTGTCAGCAGGCCTGCCTCCCTCTCCTCTCAGCTTATGCAGCACTGCTTGTGTTATTGTTACAGCTGTTTTCCACAACTGATCCTGTGGGTACTTTACTCCAAGTTCCAGAACAGATTTCTGCTCATCTACCTCAGCCAGCAGGGCCGACGGCTGCGCAGCCCACTCAAGTCTCGCTGCCACCCACTGCGGAGCCAGCGATAGCAGCCCAGGTACAGCAGGGACTGTTTTCTTCTGTGGTCAGCCTTCTGGGTGGAGAAGAAGGCGGAGGCTAGCGTGGAACACCACCTTGTGCGCTAAGGATGATGTCCTGGTAGATTTTCAAATAAGTTAGAAATTCTGTTCTCACAGTTTTACATGTATGCAGATAAGAGAGTTTAACAAAGATCGCATGGGTGGTTTTTTTTTTGGTTTTTTTTTTTTTTTTGAGCACCAAAGTAAGTTAATGATGGAAATATCCCAAACAGCAAAAGTTTGGGGCGTTGAAATTTCTTGTCAGCCTCCATCCTCTCTTCTGATCTCAGTGCCTGCCCCAACCTCCAAAGGGAGCTGCTCTCGGGGTATGCCACTTAGGCACCCGAGGGACCACCTCGAGAGCTCCGGGAGTGCTGCAGGAGGCTGGGCAAGACACGCGTACTCGCTGTCACAGTGAGACCCTCTCGTACCAGTGCCTGCTGCTTGGACAGTGGGCCGAACGAGAAGGGCTTCCCTGTCTTGTCAGCTTCTTATTGTATCCTGATTGTGCTTGAGTTCAGAATGCAGCTGCCACTAGGGAGCAGCGAGCTCTTCTGCCATCTTTGTTAATACTACCTCCAAACCGTGGTTTTCCTGCACTGCTCTTTTTAAGATACCTGTCAGTTTTGTGGGGGTTGATTTTATTAACGTGTCGTAAAGTGATCTGTGAATCCACCCAGTCAGGCACAGGTGCCCTTTATTAAATCAGAAGGCACTGAGAGTGCCGAGGGCGTGAGGGCCCCCTGAGGACTGCCCCCGCCCCTGCTGGGTAGCCACCACTCTTCCCTTGGGAAGCCGCAGGACTGTCTGCAACATGTGACTGGGCTCCGTGGTGAGAGTAAGTTCAGAGTCTACGCGTTTATTAAATAGGAGCGGTGCTTTTATTTTGTTTTTCCTAAAATTCAGGTAGGAAGAAATAAAAATAGAAGTTCAGATGTTTTCAGCTGCATCCCAGCAATGCTCTGCCTTTGGAGACCACTGTCTGAGTGTTTCCAGTTAGTCAGAGTCCTGACTACATTTAACCTTTTCTTTGCCTGAGCTTTTCATTTCTGCCCATCGTATGGGAAAGGAGACAGTCATCTTATGAAAACTGGTGAAAAGATTGGATTCATTTTATAAACAGCCTATATAGAATGTATATCCTCCAGTAAGCAAGGGACAGCTCTATGGTTTTCAGAGGATTAAAGATCTGGAACCTCCAGGTTGGGTGGTTTCCTGAGCAGCAGCCAGTTCAGACCTTACTACAGATGTATGGCCACTGGCAGGTTTTTTTAAGGGAAAAACCCAATATCTTGTTCTTCACTCTTGTAGAGGGGAACAGAGTTCTGGAACATGCAAAATTGAGATGTGACTGTGTATGGCATTTCATGTAGGTTTGACAGTGATCTTTCCAATTGTGTTTGATTCAGACTGACATTCAGCTATTGCTGCTGCCTTAGGGTGCATGTCCTCCCACAGCAGAGAGTCCTGGGGACTAGGATGCCCACACCTGGAGATGAAGAAAATTGCTGCCAAGTGGATGATTCATCTCTAGATGAGCATCAGTCACCACCACACTTAATACTCCAGGCAATGACTTTATACTTTTCAATGCTTTTTAGGCTCTGTCTTCAGGAGCAGGTTCACAAGAAACCAAGGTCCCAATCAGTCTAGTACTAAGATTACGGTAAGTAAGACATTTTGTTGTTGTTCTTTTCTGAATACTCTGAATGTGCTGATTTCTCTTTGGAAGTTACTCTTCCTTTTCGTAGTGCATGCCTGAGAGTAACTGGATAGAAATGTTTGTGTTTGCTCTCAGGTATATTATTTCCCTCAGATATAATAGCAGTAGTGTGAGAACCTGAATTACCATTGACCCATTCCTCTTTCCACATGTGAATTCCTAGTCATCTCAGTATGACCATAATTAGAGAGGAGGCAGCAGGACCTATTTGATGAATGTTCTGGGTTTTTTTTTTAACTAATTGTTTATTTTTTGGAGAGGTGGTTAAAATTCAGATTTTTATTTATTTTTTTTGAACTTTTTATTTTGTATTGGGGTATATAGCCAATTAACAATGTTGTGATAATTTCAGATAAATAGCAAAGGGATTCCACCATTTGTATACATGTAAGCGCTCTTCCCCCAAACCACCCTCTCCCATCCAGGCTGCTACGTAACATTGAGCAGAGTTTGCTGTGCTATGCAATAAATCCTTGTTGATTATCCACTTTAAATATAGCAGTGTGTCCATGTCAGTCCCAAACTCTGTAATTTTCCCTTTGGAAGATATTTTGATTTTACCACTAAGAGCAATGAAATTATGCCATGAACGTGAAGAAAGCAGACTTGGCTACCTTTTCTTTGTAGAAGCCTATTCTGTATACCTGAACCAGATCGTTCTGAATCATACAGTGTCTTGGTAATTTCATCCTATTTTTATTGTCTACAAAGAATGCTACTTGTCTGTTTTAAAAATTTTGTTTTAAAATCTTAGATCAGTTAATATAGAGTATGAAATGTTACTTGACATACGCTTCAGAAGGGGAGAGAACGCTCGTAAGTGATGCAGTTAGCTTTTTGAAGGGTGGTTTTTAATGGACTGTGTTCCAGACTTGTTTATGGAAGAGGAGGCTAGAGTCTTAGTCTCATTGATGAAGACTTTGAAGTTCAGTTTAGCATATTGTTATCTTTGAAGGTGTTTGTACTTGGCATGACAGTCACATCACAAAAGTGATACTGAACACTTGACCTTAATTTTATTCACCTTTCAGAAAGAATAGATTGAACAATTACATATTAAGCAGACTAAGTACAGCACTATTCGCTGTTGTGCTAAGACACTGAGAAAGGAGAAAATGAAATGCAATAGTCAAGTCTGTGTTGGAAGTTGATTTTTATTATGTACTTAGCATAGCTAAAAGCAAGTTTTAGTAGTAGATATGCAGCGAAGTATAAGTCCATGTAAACAAGTGCAAAGAGGCAATGTGAGGGAGAAAATCCCTGTTGGGCAGGTTGTGTTGGATTTGGGGAGCTGTATTTTAAACACAATTTCAGTAACATCAAGCATGTGTCAGATAGACCTAAGCCCTCTACATTATTTAGATAAAATGGATTTGGGTCCTAAGTAATCAGGCACATCTGCCTTTATGGATGGTATTCTGATTTCTCCATCTTTAACCAGAACCTCCAGGGAGCTTGGTTAATCTCAGTACTTGGTGGGGTGAGCAATCACTGTTACTATCCCTCATCAGTCACATTTTAATCTCTGAAGCCTTTTATTAACTCTCCGGCCAGTATGGACCCCATTCCTGTCCCCATCTTCTCTCCCTTCCCAAAGCCTTCCTGTCCATTACATCCTATCTAACAAAACTACTAGTATTTCTAAAGTTTCTCCTCATTATCCCAATCTGTATATTCTTTATCCTTCTCCTCTGAACCCCTGTGGAATTGAGGGCGCATCATGTATTTCATTCTATGAGTCTGCTCAGACTGATCCCCAGTGGTGGGCAAGGTACTGTCCTTGGCGAAGGGGTGTGGCGGGGGTAGGAGTGGAGATGAGGAAGAAAAGAGCCGCCTCTGTCATTTTAGTCACACCTCCCAGTGCTCTTTCGTATATTCCTCTTAGTTTAATATGGTTGTCTTGTTGGGTGTAAGGATGAGAATGGGCATATAGTGACCAGTGAAGGACATAGATTAAAAGAGTTGTAGGACAGTTTTTAATGAATGATCACTCTGAGTTGTTTGCTCTGAGCCCTCAGTGTGAGCTCATTAGGACAGATCATCTGGTCTTTCGGACAGAAAGATCTTTCTCTTGGCATAGCTTTCCTAATATATGTAGTCAGGCTCTGAATGTATAAATTCAGAAATTTATTTTACACATTTTGTTTTCTTTCATAGGAATTCAAAAAAGGAACTAAATGATATTCGATTTGAGTTTACTCCTGGGAGAGGTGAGGCATCAAAATCAAAACATTGAAAACAAAATAACTGCTCATTTGTCATTTGAAGAAAATGTGTGTGAAGTTTCTGTCCTTTAGGTATATTTTCCTCTTAAAGGGTGATAAAAAATGTTCCTGGCCTAAAGGTTGAGGGTACGTGTGAATAAAGTAAAAACGCAGTTTTTGTTGGTTTTTTTTTTTTTAACAACTACCTCATTTAGAAAATATAGTATAATACAAGCAGTAGTAAATATAGCTCCAGTTTACTATGGCAGATGTTGTGCTAAGCAGCATTTCATTAAATTTTCAAAATGGCCCCTAAGGAAAGATTATTGTCCCCATTGCATAGATGATGAAATCAAGGTTTCGAGAGAGTGAAGTAACTGGTTACAGTTCCCACAGCTGAGAAGAGGTGTAGCTGGATCTGCCAGTGTGCCGAATTCTGGCTCTTATTACTGAGCATGTTTGTACTCCTTGACAGTAAGGAAACAGCAAGGCTTCCAGTCCCCTGCCTCCCAGCTGAAGCTGAGCCCCGTCGCGCGTAGTTTCTGTCCGTGAACTTCTCCCAGGGACAAGGTTTATTATTTTCTTTCTTGCCTTTGTTACTCAGAATCCATATTTGTGAAATGGCTCACAGCTATTGGGCATCTGTCCTGTGTGCCATGCGTAGTCTTCCCGCTGCCTCGGTCTCATGAGCAGCTCACTGAAGTGCTGAGAACACGAGAACAAATGCACGTATACAGAGATGTATCTGATTTCTGCCTTAAAGCCAGGCAGAGTCGCTCCTTAAGGTACTCACTCACATCACTGGTCATCGGCACAAGTATGTGCACGGCCCCTCCCCAGAGGTCCTCTCATTCCCTCTGAGAGCCTTAGTGTTCAGGCCTTGGGAAGGAGTCAGTTAGAGATGAGGTTAATTGATGGTACTCTCACCTCATCTTTTGAGTTTTTTAGTTGTATGCCCATAGACTATATGTACTCAGATAGTACAACCTCGGATGACTGGATGTGAGGGAAAGCCTACCAGAATACAGAAGAAAATGATTTTAGGGGGGAAAAAAAAAAGAAGAAGGACAAAAAAAAAACCAGGAGTGTGATCCCCAAAGAAAAGTGATTAAAATTTGTTTTCTTAAGGTTTAATTGAGGGGAATACCCTGGTGATCCAGTGGTTCAGATTCAACACTTTTACTCTCAAGGGCACGCATTCAGTCCCTGGTCAGGGAAATAAGATCCCACAAACCTTGCAGTGTGACCAAAAAAAAAAAAAAAAAAGATTCAATTGGGACTGAATCATTCTGTGTTATTCCAGGAGATGTTACACACACATCGTCACATCCCCAGGCTCACAGGGCTGGGTCCAGGGTTGCCCTCAGGCTAGTAGTTTCTTCTGCAGCATCACTGTCAGGCACTCTTGTGACAAAGGCAAGACCCCATCTAAGCTGTGCCGTCATTTAGAATGTTATCTTTACACTGAGCTCATACTTGCCTTATGGTTGATTGATCCAGGTTCTGTCCTCTAGCTCGACCTCTGATATGTCCCTCACTTGAGGTAATCCTGGTGGTAGGGAAAACCTCTGTGTGGAAGAAGGCCTCCCCCCCACCACCACCTTGGGTCTGTGGATTTAGCAGCTAGCTTTAGTCTGGCCATTCCGGCACCTGCTTTGGAAGTTAGCAGGGACTTGCATGCACAAGAAAATGGATCACTTTCTTCTTTGTCTTTGCAGACACAGCGGAGGGTGTCTCTCAGGAACTCATTTCTGCCGGCCTCGTCGATGGAAGGGATTTAGTCATAGGTAACTACTTTGTGCTCTGCCCTTGTGCCCTTGTCTCTTTGCCTATATCCTTAGGATCTAGAAAATCGGGCCTTGATTCTACTGAGTAGGTCGAATGGTTCTAGGGATGGTTCTTGGCTTTGTTGAAATAGGTGTTGGGGATAGCTCCTTTCTTAACAAAAAAGAAAAATCTCACTTTTGAATTTGCTTGTTACCCCCAGTGATAGTGAGTAAAAGCTCACCCAGGTCTCTGGGAGATCGTAGAAATAATGACAGAAGTCACAAGTTAGAGTAAGCTTGGCCATATCTAATCCATTTTGGAGGATGAGCTCTCCTTGGGCAGCCAAGAGGTAAGAAAAAAATCATTACAGATATAGTCCTTAAAAAAAAGCAGGAGGTAAGAACAGGCCCAGGCAGGCCACAGGTACATGTTTTTCAAGGAAAAGACCATGGTGTAGGACAAGTCAGTAGACTTTTAAAGGGCCAGATAGTAAATAGTTTAGGCTTTGTGAACCATGAATAGTCTCTGTCATTTTTTTAAAAATTTATTTATTTACTTATTTTAATTTATTTATTTTAATTGGAGGCTAATTACAGTATTGTAGTGGTTTTTGCCATACATTGACATGAATCAGCCATGGGTGTACATGTGTTCCCCATCCTGAACCCCCTCCCACCTCCCTCTCCATCCCATCCCTCTAGGTCATCCCAGTGCACCAGCCCTGAGCACCCTGTCTCGTGCATCGAACCTGGACTGACGTTCTGTTTCACACATGATAATATACATGTTTCAGTGCTACGCTCTCAAATCATCCCACCCTCGCTTTCTCCCACAGAGTTCAAAAGTCTGTTCTTTACATCTCTTTTGCTGTCTCACATATAGGGTCATCGTTACCATCTTTCTAAATTCCGTATATATGTGTTAATATACTGTATTGGTGTTTTTCTTTCTGACTTATTTCACTCTGTATAATAGGCTCCAATTTCATCCACCTCATTAGAACTGATTCAAATGCATTCTTTTTAATAGCTGAGTAATATTCCTTTGTATATATGTACCACAGCTTTCTTATCCATTCATCTGCCAGTGGACATCTAGGTTGCGTCCATGTCCTGACTATTATAAACAGTGCTGCAATGAACAGTGGGGTATACGTGTCTCTGTCATTTTTACACGTAATTGGCTGATTCCCATTCTAGGGCCTTCTGGCCCATGAATAGGCAAGTCCTACCTCTTTAACTGGAGTGTCGTTCCTCAGTTAATACGGCATCTTAAAGAAAGTTAATTTGACAATGGTAAGATTTATTTGTGCTACTTGGACTTGTATTTTAAAACACCTCTTGTTTAGGGAGCATTTTGCTCCCTAAATGCAAGCAGAATGCTTGCATTTTGATTGTATGTAGGAGATTCTGAACTACCATTTAAGTTGTTAACATATAGTTGAAATGTGGATTTACGTAACTTGTCATTACCTTCTCTGTTTTTGATTATAGTGGCAGCTAATTTGCAGAAGATTGTGGAAGAACCCCAGTCAAATCGATCTGTCACCTTCAAACTGGTATTCATCCCTTCCTTCTTGTTAAACTGTCTCACTTTTCCACACCAGCAGCCTCTGCAGACCAGCTTCCATATTCCCTGAGTGATGAGAATAATCAAGTCTGGTGATTGTTTGTTTAGCCTCCCCATGCCCTGGGCTGATGTCTCTCTTCATTGGCCTCCCTTCCCCTCTCCCTCCCAGGAAGCCTCCTACCTGAGGCTCTCAACTGTTTATTCTCAAAAGAGATTGTCAATCTGACTCCACCTTTGTACCTAGACTCCACCTACACCTTTCTTTGCCTCCTGTTTGTATCCCAGAGACCTTTCCCCAACTGCCCTCTCTCTCACAATCCCCATGTCAGTTTTAATTATTACCTGCAGTTTTGTTTGTGAATAACCACAGCTTCTCATTTTGTTTGGTTCTTAGGCATCTGGTGTCGAAGGCTCAGATATTCCTGATGATGGTAAACTAATAGGATTTGCCCAGCTCAGCATCAGCTAAAACAGAGCCCTGGAAGAGGCAGCTGAAGGAGATTCCACACATGCGTGTCTCTGTTGCTTCTGTTGGCCTAAACCCACTACTGCCAAAGAACCCAGCAACAAACCTCCCAGCTAGGAGCTTTAGAGGTCTTTCTTTTATGTTTTTCCTGCCATCATCCCTGCTTTTTCCCACAGGGAAAGAAAAGTTGGATCACCAGTGGCCAGCATCCCTTTTAAAGAGTTCCGTTAGTAAACTTACTGCACGCATCCCCTGTCTTCCTCCATCTGAGAAGTGGCCCGGGTGCCTCAAGGCCCAGGAGGGAGGTCTATCAGCTCATCTTGCCTTACTCCAGTGATGGCGCTGGGTGGAAAGTAGCAGCTCTATTGGGCTTCCTCATCCTGCTTCTTCTCCCACACCAGACGGGATGTGGGCATCTTGGGATATCTCTTTACCACTGAAGTAGCAATTAAAAGTTGATTGTTCAGCTGGAGCCCAGAGAATTTAGTTTAGTGATTTTTTTTTTTTTTTGTATCTGATATGAATTCTAGCAACCTTCGTTAGGAAAAAGCACAGCCTCAGAAGGAGGCAACCTAAACTGTGTTCTTGTTTTGTTGATGATGTTTCTAAGCGTTTTGCTGAAGCTGCTCTCAGGCACCCCTCTTCATTACTTGCTCCAGAAAGGGTTGCTCGCCTTAACTTCAGCTGGTGCAAAACATCTGACTGTAATCGAACTTCAGCCATCGGACCCTTCAAAGCGGAACTTTGGACTGTTTTTAGGGAAGAAAATCACATAACGGCTAATAAACGAGAGTTACCCCAGCAGTGGTGTTTTGAACAGGAAAAAATCATAACTCATATCAGTGTGGAAGTATTTATTTCAGATCTTAAACAACTGAAGAAAACTACTCCTTGATCCTCCCGTGAAAATCAGTTTGCCTGGCCTCCGAGTCATGAGGAAATGCAAGGCTGAGATCTCTACAGCAATAAAGGAGAGTCGCCCTAGGCCCCAGAGGCCTGCCTTCTGCCCCCTCTCCTGCACTGGCCCTTAGGAGGGGTCCACACTTCCGTGTGCTGAACCTGACCCAAGATGGAACGTGAAACCACATGTGCCGTGACTTTTAGGATTTATGAGTAGACAGTGTTTGTTTGATTTTCTACAGAAATAATATAAATTATTCTTTAGGTTTAAAAAAGAGCACTCATAATGCAATATGTGAATCACCAGTGGGGTTGATTTTTTTTTTTTTCCTACTGTTTCACAGTCAGCCTTTATCTAACTGCAGATTAGCCCTAACAAGTTTTACAAATGAAAGAGATCCTCAATCTGGCCTTAAAACAACACAAAAAGATGGGCTTTGGCCCCAGTGAAAGGGGAGAGCTGCCTCTTACAGAATCAGTTGATCCCTTTCCATCTTTGTTGGTCTGTGAATAACAAGATTGCTTTACCTAGTTTTTTCTTGGAGCACCTCTGAAAGCTTTCCCCACAACTGACTTGTTACAGTTTTAATTTCATTCTGAGCTCATAGTTTTAATCTTGGGCTTTCTTCACCGGCCCTGGATACAGAGGCATGTTGGGAAAGGGGTGGGTGTTGGAGAGGAAGGGAGGGAATGGTTTGGTATGAGAGGGTTGGGAGGAAAATAGATCAGAGGATCAGATGCCAGAGTCCTGGCAGGATTGGTCAAAGGAGGGAGCCTGTTGAGCCTGGAGACAGGAGATTGATCAGCTTGATGGACAGATATTTAGCTTTTCTTTTTTCTTTTCTTAGAAGAGAGTTGAGGGGGAAAGGACAGGAAGGTAGGAATAAGTTTATGGAAAAGATGTAGTGTCCCCTTTGGCACAAGACTAGGGGCTTAACCTTAGAGTCTGTATTTTTGTTTCAAGTAAGCCCTTCATAGTCTGCTTATTTCTGAATCCAGAGGGTAGTGGCATCACTCTGTTCTAGCTTTTTTTGGAGGTGATCAAAAGCCCAGGCTGGAAGTAAGCAGCAGCCCATCTCCTTGTTGAGTTTCTCCTGCTGGCCATTACCTGTGAGCTGCAGTGGGACAGGCATGACCTTTGAACTGAAGTGGGCTGGGGCTTTCTCTTTCTTTTCCATCCATCTTTTGCCCTGCTGGGAATTAGGAGCCAGACACCAAGCCCCAGGACAGTGTTACTTCTTCTTTTGCATGATGTATGGTGGACTCCCTTTGCTGGTATGTGCAGTGATGCTGAAAAAAAATGAGTGAACAGAAACTTCGCAGGTGAGACAGCACGTGACCTAGTGAGCAATCTCGCTCCTTCCTGGGAGTGGTGGTCCAGGATACACCTCTCTCCCTAGACCCCTAGGATCTCCTGGGTCCTGGGGTAGGGACTAACTTAGCACAAGGTAACATGTGCCAATGCTATTTGTAAAATGTATGGTCTTTCTAAATGATTCATGGATTTGTTTGGGATTTTTTGCTTAAGTTGTGAACCAAATCCTAGAGCCAGCTGACACTCTTAATAATCTGGAGGACAGAATAATGGTATATCAATAAATGGCGGTTCCTCCTTATGACATATGCTAGATTATGGAAGATGTAAAATATTTGACTTCCCCTCCCCCCCCCTTTTTTTTGACTTTGTACTTTGCTGCATGTTTCATTCATTTTTAATCAATAAAGAATAAATTGTCTGTGGTGGTGTAAGGATGCTTCACTTTGGTGACTGTTGATGGGAGCAGCAGGAAGTGAAAAGGTGTATTAATAAACAATGTAAAGCCATTGTACAAATGGGGAAGCTGAAATCCCCAAAGAGAGCAATCTGCCCAGATAAATTTGTTAGGGTGGCATAATGAACTCCTCTCACTGACCTTTCCTGTTTACCTCTGCCCATGCTATTGAGTGGGCTAAAAATACCAGATTCAAGTCCTTGGGAAGTTCTTTTGGAAAGTTCAGAGCAAGGCTGAACTTGTTCCCATTACTCAGCCCTTCTTCACCTTCTGGGTAAGTAACTCCTGCCCCACAGGTGGTCTTTGAGCCTTGACAGGACTGCTTTGGGGGGTAGGTCCTGGTAATTCAGGGCTCAGGTCCTGGGACCTTGGGAATTGACGGTATCATAGCTGATTGAATTTCCTTTTAAGGTAAACGGGTTGTGTGGAGACAGAGGAGGAGGTGCTGACTACTCAGAAGTGACCATGGTGTATGTGGGGGTCAGGGCAGGCACATGAGTAAAGTGTGGAGACCTCTCCACTTGCCCATCATCTTTAGCAAGATCAGGTCTTGTCCAGAAGCCAGGCTCCTCACCTCTGCCTACTCATAGTAGCAATGCTCAGGGCCACAGTTGATGGATTCCTCCTGTGGATCAGCTCACCTACCCTGCACATTTTGTGGTTTTGTTTTTTTGAAGTAGACTTTTGTCTTTCAGGGTAGTTTAATGTCACAGAAAAATTGAACAGAAGGTATACAGAGTTTCCATATACCCCCTGGGCCCAGGCAGGCACAGCCTCTCCCACTGTCAGCATCCTGCCCCAGAGTGGTACATGTGTTGAACTGATAAACTTACCTTGGCTCTTCATTATCACCCAGAGTCGATAGTATACCTTCGAGTTCACTAGCTGTTATATATTTTATGGTTTTGGACAAATGGATAATGAGATGTACCCATCATTATGATCTCACAGAGAATAGTCTCACTGTCCTAAAAGTATGCAGGCTTTTAAGAACAGGCTTTTTTCACACAGTTATATGCACTTAAGGTCTCTCCATTCCCTTTTGTGGCTTGATGGCTAGTATTCCATGTCTGGATATCCCACGGTTTATTAATCCATTCACTTGCTGTGTGCAAGTTTTGACAGTTACGAATAAAACTGCTCTAGGCACCTTTGTGCATGTTTTTGTTAATATGTGGGTATGAGTGCCAGCTCGGTTGAGTGAATACCATGGAGCCCCCTGGCAGATTCTGTGGTAAAAGTAGTCTTTTCTTAGGAGACCACCTACCATCCAAAGTGGCTATGCCATTGTTGCATTCCCACCAGGGAATGAGAGTCCCTTCTGATGCATGTGTTCACAGGCACTTGGCGTTGTCACGGTTTTAGATTTGGGCCCTGATGACGGCGTGTGAGAATCTTTTCATATATGCCCCTTTGCCATCTGTGTATATTCTTCAATGAGGTGTCTGTTAGGTCTTTTGCCCACTTTTTTTAAGATTTTTTTTTTTTTAATGATCATTTTTTTAAGGTCTTTATTGAATTTGTTAGAATATAGCTTCTGTTTTATGTTTTGGACTTTTTTGGCCTCAAAGCATGTGACATCTTACCTTCCCGACCAGGGCTCAAACCCACACCCCTTGCATTGGAAGGCAAAGACTTAACCACTGGACCACCAGGGAAGTCCCTGAAGTACTTTTAAATAAAGGTATGTATATTTTTTTTAGAATACTGTTGCACACTTAAGAGACTATAGTATAAATATAGCTTTCATACTAGAAAACAGACTCATTTTATTGTGTCTAGTTATCCCAGCACCATTTGTTGAAGAGACCATCTTTACTCCATTGTATTGCCATTGTTCTTTTGTCAAAGATCAGTTGAATCGGTTTTTTTCTGGGCTGTCTGTTCTGTTCTGCTGATGTGTGTGTGTGATCTTTTTGCCTGTACCACACAGTGAAGTCAGGTATTCTCAGTCCTGCACCTCTCTTCTCAAATACTGTGTTGACTGTCCTCAGACTTACCCACCCTGGGCCTCCAAGCAGTCTGTCAATTACAGTCAGATTTTCTCACTGTGGTACTGATTGCTGTGGAAGTCTGAGTTTGTGAATTTCTGCTCCAAGAAGTTATAATTCTCTGTATTGAACTTTCTGGCTCCAATTTGAGGGAGAGCAGTTTGCCCTGTGACCTGATGGATCTAAGCAGAATTGTTGATTTTTCAGTTTGTCCAGCTTTCTACCTGCTAGAACACAGTGACAACTGCTAAGCTGTTTACATCCTGGACAAGAAACCAGAACTCCTACCACATGTTTTTATTTACTAGAGTCGTTCTTAGCAGTTCCCTGGTGGTCCAGTAGCTAAAACTCCGAGCTCCTAGTGCAAGGGGCCCAGGTTCGATCCCTGGTCAGGGACCTAGATCCCACATGCTGCAACCAAAGCTCCTGTGTGCTGCAAGTAAGACATGGCGCAGCCAAATAAATAAATATTCAGAGTCATTCTCAAATTTGGAAGAAATTTGAGACATCCTCCAGTGCATCCCTGTAGGTGATGTCTGGGGAGTACTTTCCCCTCCCTGCACCATACGTACAAACACCACCCTCTACCCTACCGGCAGATGACTGTGTATCCATTCAAGTTACACTACTACAGTGATCAGAACACTCTTCTCTTTGGTCTTAGCAGTGCCATTGACTAAAGACAGGTGCAAGGAGAGGAAGAGGAGAGAGACAGGCTGCAGGTTCTCCCTTAAGGGCTGGAAGCAGTCCTGTCCTCCCCCACAGCCTCCCAGAAGACAGTGAGGGTGGCCAGACTGCTGGAGACGCCAGAAAGCAGCACATACGCTACCTGGAGCTCATCCTCCCAGGTCAGCGAGACCACAGTGTTTCTGGGAGGAGTCCCCCGTTGTGAGCTTTGAAGCATCATGGGAAGCCTTTGGCAGACTGGTTGGAGTGGGAGAGGGGCAGGTTTAAGAGAACAAATAATTCAATCGAAAACTTAGAACTGGGGGAACTGGGAGTGCAGTGAAACCAATGGAGTTTGGGCACCTGTAGTTATAACTGTGGAAGGTCTTTGGTTGAGTCTCACTCTTCTGTCAGTCTCCTCATCATTTATCTGTCTATATTTTAGAATCCTACACCAGGAAATGGAATAATCCTTAGAGACCATCTAGTTCGAACTTTCCTTTTACACAGATGCAGAAATTGAGGCCAGAGGGCTAGAAGGGGCAGACGGCGGATCACAGTGAATCACTGGTGGAGCCCAAACCTAGGTGTTAAGTGGACCTCCTAACTCCAGTCCCTTTGGAGCCTTAGAGCTGAAAGGACCACAGAATCCTCTCCCTGATCAGGGAGGAGATGACGACTGAGCACAGGCTGCTCCTGTCTCCACCTCAGTTCCCTACAAAGGCTGAGCCGCGGAGTGAGTAGTGGCAGCTGGGAACATTGCTTTCTTGGCAGTTCATTCAAGGCTGTGCTGAGGACAAGAACTTGCCAGGGAGCTAGGTGAGGGAGCAGAGGTGGGGCTGGCGACAGGGGGAGCCTGGCGGGGAGTTGAGGGTGGAGGAGGGGGCAGAGAGACTCCTCTTGTGCAGGGCTCTGGACTCGCGTCTGCCCTGCCTGGACCCTGCCTTCATGCTGACTGAGTCACAGGCGGCAGGTACAGGCCCATGATAGCCAGGGCTGCTCTGCACAACCTTACTGCCTCACATTCTCTTCACCCCTGCACCTCTGCTCATTTCTTAAAATAATTTAAAATCAAAAGACTTTCTGAGGGCTACACAAACAAATAGGTGAATGTGAGTGTGACACCCAAGCATGTATTTTCCCCTAATGGTCTATTTTGCCCCATCATTCTGATCCTCCCATGATTAGATGCCTTCCAAGCCCAGGGTCTACCTGCAGTAAGACCTCCAGGGTAGAAAGACGGGGGCATTCATCTGTGGGAGGTTCCTGTTAAGAATCCTGACCTGCCACCTCCCACGCTGTGCCCCCTCCTAACCTTGACTCCAGCAAGTTTATAGGAATGACCCCAGATGGGGGCTCCCCCACCTGGGGTGGGGCTTTGCCCTCTGTCCTTCAGTGCTCACCGAGATTACCTGGGGTGGTTGGGTCTACTCTGGGGCCGCTTGCATTTGTTTTTTATTGTGGGAGTGTGTTAATGGTTTCTTCCTTGATTAGATAGAGATGAGGGTGCACGTGTTAGCTGTGCTGCTGAAGGGAAAGGCGTGTATGCCCTTGGTGGGCCTGCTGGCCTTAATACTACTCTTGGGTTGACTACTACTCTTGCATACCACCACGTGCTAGGGACCCTGCAGGAGACAGTAAGGTCAGGGTCATGAGACCAGGTTGGTTGGACTCTTGGCCGAGTTAACATGCAGTCTGGGTCCTTTCTGCTCTACTGACATATCCCCCCTCTGTCAAGTATAGTAGCAGCTGCCTTGTAACATTGAAATTACTCTCAGAATTTGGGTTCTTTCATAATGGGAGGAGTTTGCACTGGTGTGACTTGGAGCGGATGTTGCAGCTAGGAGGAGGGTGGTCCTTGTACACCATAATATCTGACTAGAGCTCGCTGCTTTGTACTAGACCTGAGAAGTTCCTTGTCACACAGTCTGGAAAACATCCTCAGATCCTCCAAGTCAGAGTGGACTGTTTTTTTTCATCCTATTCTGTCATTCCTAGACCTGAGCTCAGGAGCAGAAGTGTGACAGGTGGAGCCACACGAGGCTGGATTAAACATTAACGCAGCTGCCACCATTACCCCGAGCAAGCTGCAAAGCTAGCTGGTAGCCCCGGCTAAGGAGCTGGTGACCAGTGACCATGGCTCCCTTTGCCCAGGTCTTGGCTGAACTGGGCAGCTTTGGTCACTTCCAGGTGCAGCTGCTGATACTGCTGAGTGTGCCCAGCTTCCTGACTGCCTTCTACATGTTCACCCCGGCCTTCATGGTCCTGGACAAGGCCCCCTATTGTTCAGTGACCTGGGTCAGGAATCAGACTCTGAACCTGAGCACGGTTGAGCAGCTGGCCCTGAGCTTGCCCCTGGATGCTGCCTGCAGTCCCGAGCCCTGCCTCATGTTCCAGTTGCCCCCTGATGGTGCCAGCCTGGAGGACATCCTCAGCCACAGCTTCAATGAGACACAGCTTTGCGAGGTGGGCGGGGTCTATCCCGAAGGCAGGCCCTTGTCCATAGAGAATGAGGTAAGGCCGCATGTCAGTCCGACTTTCTCAGTGTTTTGAGTCAGTCAGCTGCTCTGCACGCCACTCCACCCCCCCTGTCTCTGGAGTGACCGCCTCTGAAGCCGCCGCTCCTCCCCGGGCCTGAATGGCCTTTGTCACGCCTGTTTCGCCTCTCTCCTCTGCCTGTCGGCCCATCTACCTCTCCATCCATTCCCTTTGTCTGGGGTGTTTGTCCGTCTGTCCGTTCTTCTCTCTGTTTCTATCTGTCCCTTTGCCTGTCTGCCCCATGGCCTTCTTTCCTGTCTCTCCTGTCAGCTGTTCTCGTACCTTTCTCTTTCCTAGGTTTGCATCTGCCTTCCCATTTGCCTTTGTCTTTCAGCCCATTCCGTGTATCTGCCCACTTACCCGTCTACCTTGCTTAACTAATCTTGCAGTCCTTCCCCTTCCCTGCCCACTCGTCTACCTTCCTGCTTGCTTGCCTTGGACTCCCTGCCTTCAGCCTTTCTTTCTAAATCTCTTCCTGCCTGCCTGCCTGCCTCTGAGATGCTGGAGGCCATGCAGAACTCTAGGACTTGTCCTGCACATATCTGAGCAGTTGCTTCTGCTAACGCTGTTCTCTTAGGAGGGGCCCCAGCAGATCAGTAGAAAGACTTTTCCACTCCAGCCACCTCAGAGCAAGAAGGCTTGCTTCCCAGACAGTAGGGCGGAGCACAGAATAGGGAGATGACTTGGCAAGGGCAACACACATACTTCACACTGAACCTGGGACTCTCATTCAGGGTATCCGGCAGCCTGAGGGTATGTCGTCCTGCCTTCTTCCTCATCTTACCACTCAGTCCACCCCACAGGGGGAGTAGGTCACCTTGAACTCTGCTAGCCCCTGGATCTAGCCCAGCCTGGGTTTGTCTGATCCTCAGTGCCCCTTCCTTCATCTCCCCAGTGTTTCACCGATGGTAGGTCTGACCATCATCCTTAGATGCTGTGTCTACCTCTAAAGGTGCTCATAAACCCTCTGCCCATCTAGCCAAGTGTCATCATCCTTATAACCGAGGCAGACTTCCAGAGTGCTCAGAGCCAACCCTAGCTCTTCTTCACAGCCTTTGCTGGACTGTTCATGGAATTATTATCCAACCAACAGCTCCTGAGTTCTCAGTATGTGAGGCACAGTCAGAATAGAGGCACCCTGTTCACCTCTGAGAAGACCTGGACTCCTAGTAGAGGGACAAAGGCTCAATGAACTCTGAGGCTAGAATTCACTTCTTCCTGGGGAGAGAATGGGCAGGCAGCTCCCTGAAGGAGTTGGTGTGTGAGCTGGGTGCCCAGGGACCAGAAGAAGGTTAATAGGGGAAAGGAGAAAGCCTTCGTAGACAGAGAATAGAAAAAGAAAGGCCTGGTAACAGGAAGACGGTGATGTGTCAGGAACTTGGGTTTGCCTGGGCTACGGGTGGGCAGGTTTTATGGGACGAAAAGGATGTTCTCAAGGACTAAGGGCCTCTCTCTCCTCAGTCACCGACTTAGTCTTTGCTACCCCTGGTGTTGGACCTTGGCCCTCTGGCCCTTCCCTGACATGCTTCCATGGACCCACCCTCCCAAGGATTGCAGCTCCCAAGTGAATGTACGCTTTTGGTACTTTGTGGCCCGAACTACATGACAACCCCAAACTCGGTTCCAGAGTGGAGCTACCTTGTGTGAGGTGTCCATCTTGGCTTCCAGTCTACAAGCAGGGCTAGAAGCTACACTACAAGCTACGCTGAATCTGGGGACTTCTCTGAGCTGATATCCCAAGTTTCATTTATAACCAGCAGCTTCATATGCAAAGTGAAATACAGATAATCCAGATTTGAGAAGGAAAAAAAAAAATTTCCTTATGAATTGTGTGCTAGTGAATGACAGAGTACATATCTCCTTCTCAGCCTACCTGTCCAACGTTTCCTGGGTTTCCATCCTTGGTAAAAGAAAATGACTCCCAGCCCTGTCCACACAAACCTCTGAACATGGAGGTTACTGGACCGTCAGTGAATAGCAAAAACAGTGTGGTCTGTCCTGGAGCCACAGAAGGAAGGCGCGCGAAGCAGAGAGAATAGCCGTTTCTAGGGTCTGGAGCATGAAAGCGCCCGGCCTGTGTGAGCAGCGCTGACATAGAAAGGAGGACTGGGAAGAGACAAGAGCCAACTCTTAGAGTCTCAGATACCAGTGCCAAGGAGTTGGGACTTTCTTCCAGAGACCAGTGGGAGCCATTGATGGTTTGGAACAGTGGAAGTGAGACTTGATGGGTTGTGCTCCAAGAAATGGGGTGGTATTCTGCAGTCCACCGTGACAGGCCCCAGACAGAACTGTCCACCGTCGGCATTAGGGCTGGGGAGGTTGACACCTGGTGTCCCAAGTTGGAGCCCTCTTCGTCTCTGTTCCATCTGCAACATGACACCAGCATGTGAACTGGGGTTGGTCTTGGCACCTCTCCAAGCCTCTCTCTTCTGCGAAACAGAGAGAATAATAAGCCTACATGGGAGTTAGAGAATTTGATAAGATAGGATTAATGAATGGTGTCCACTGAGCAGAGAAGGCAGCCTTGGTGGAGCCCATGGCTTGGTACTCACGTCTTCAGAGCATGAAGGCCCCTTGTATCTGAGATGCCTATGTCACCAGCTGTATGCTTCATGGGCCTCATGAAGCTGTGTTAGTACAGCCTCAGCTGAGCTGACTTAGCACAGCCACTTTCCTACCTATGTTGTACGTGTTAATTGCTTTTATCCTACCAGGTGGTACTAAGGAATCTGTTCATCTTCATTTGTACATGGGAAATCCAAGACACCAGAGGATCAGCTAACAAAGTCATACAGAATGAATGACTCAGCAGACCTTTATTCATAATTTTTTATTTTATACAATATCTAACTACAGAGGCAATCTGTGATGGCTAGACAAAAAGCAAACCAGATAGAACTGGGTGGAACAACAAGTTCCAAGCACCCGGTCCTGCCACACTTCATTCTCAGAAGCAATCCATTCATCATTTGATGATCACTTAAAACTCTTACAAAATTAACAGTCGTCCTTCAAGACAGATGTAGGAGCAAAATATTATCTCCTGAATTAGTTAATTTTTAGCTTAAGATTAGGTAACTCATGGAAATTGGCTTCTCAGCCAACTGAAGGTATTGATTGGTTCCTTCTTTCATTCATTCATTCATCCTTTCACTCAGGAAACATTACCTTAGCTTTCCCTTAGTTTCACTCCCTGTCCAGGGCAGCAAAGATGTCTGATCTTACTGCCATCCAGCTGTCCAACTCTAGGACCTAGGACTAGCTGCTGAACCTATATATAGTAAGTCAAGGATTGTTGCTAGAATTACGTGAGATGATGCATGTGAAACGTTTGGTATAGTACCCAATCCAGAGTAAGCACTCAGCAAGCATTAATATTGTGAAGCTGTCTCCATGAGCTTTGAAGGAGAGCTCACCTGCCATCATCCCCCTGCACACACTCGAGTGTGGAGCTGAGAGGTGTGCAGGGGGCACAGAACTTCCTTGAGGGGCCCACAGACGGGGGTCAGTCACATGCCATTGTTGTATGTGCACGTTGCTGTGGACATGTGTACTTGATTTGTATGGACACCCATACGTTCTTCACTTGGATTTCCAGTCTGTCTGTCAGGTTCTGTGAGTCTCCAGGTGGGCTGTCTCCCCTCCCATTGCCATGTGTGTGTGTGTGTACAGGTTTCATGTTCCTGCATCCTAATCTCTTTCCTCAAGGGATGTGTGAGGGCTCCTTAGGATTCTGATTGCCCGAGAATGATGGGAGTTTCAGGGGGATTTTGCAGTCAGTTTGGAAAACTCTGAAAGGCCCAAGCAGGTCACAGGGATGCCATGGTTACAGGGAAGAGGTCCCATTTGTCAGGAAGAAGCAGTTAGTGACTGTCAGGGGTTCCTAAACCGTGCATCCATAGTGGGTTGATAATTTTATATGGTATCTCCAGGCCAAAAAAAGTACCTAGAAGTTTCATATAATAAGTAATTTTATCCAAACAACTTAAGAAGAGGAACTTCCCTGGCAGTCCAGTGGTTAAGACTCTGTACTTCCAGTTTGATCCTTGGTTGAAGAACTAAGACACCTCATGACAGGCAGTGGGGTAAAAAAAAAAAAAGAAGAAAACCACCAACAGCAAAAATAAAACAGAAACAAAACAACTTAAGAATTTATGTACTTAAAAAAAAAAGAATTTATGTACTAACAACTCAGTAGCTGTTTAAAAAAAAAGAGTATGTATATATATATATACACAAATCAAAAGAAAACATTTAAATTTCATCCTCAAGTAAGTGCAGTTACTTCCTAATAGGATATATTGGAAACCACACATCTCAGTCCTTGAACCCTGTGAGTTTCACATGGTTCTTGCTTTTTCCACAGCACTTGCCAAAAACACAACCTCACACAGATCACTGAAAAGAATTGCGTGAACCATCTGGAGCTGGCAGTTTGAAATGAAACAGATGTTGACTGTCACTATTTCCTCTTACACTTCTAAGTATCGTGTCGTGCACTCTGAGTTCACAAAGCTGCTGCCCTGGGATACCTTGATCCCCAGTTTGGGACGCTGCCCCACTTCTGTCCTGAGAGGTTTGTCATGTGTGGGCTAGCTGATAAAAGGACTTGCCTCAGCTACCCCTGAACTCACATCTGCCTGTGTCTACCTCATTTTAACATGGTCTGTGGTTGGAAGCATCTGAAGGAAACCTCCCAGTCGGTATATGTGGCTGGGCCCCTCATTGGGGCACTCATCTTCGGGCCCCCCTGCAACTGCTAAGAACCTTGACCAGTTCCGCCGACCCAGCTTGCTCTTGGATCCTGGCCCAGGGTCTAGTTCTCCCCAGGGCCCCACTCACCAGTCTCCAGGTAAGGCCCTGTCCGCCTGCAATGGGACTCCCGGCTGGGGCCATGCACCCTCCCACAGACAGAGCACCCAGCAAAGGGCTTGGGGCCGGGTCTCCCTTCCTCCTTCCCCTCAGATAGATTCACTCCTCGACCTGCCCCTTTGCAGCCCCAGGATCGGCCACACGGCCACTCTCCTGGCGCAGCTGCTCCTCTTCCCCATCCTCGGCATGAGCGCAGCCTCTGTGCCCAGCTTTGGGCTCTACATGGTCCTGTGCTTTTCTGTGGCCGCAGCCGTCGCTGGATATACCTTCAGCAACGTCACCCTACGTGAGTGTCTGGGCCCTGAAGCCATCAGCTGCAGAGCAAGGCCATGGGGCCTGCGTGGCCACACTCCCACAGTGCCTGGGGGCCCCAGTCAGCTCCCTCCGTGCACCTAATGGGATGGCACTGACACGCCCTGAACTGGACCGAGACCACAGCCCCTGACCTGGTGGCATCTCACTTTGGCAGGGAGTGATAGGGTGGGGTCCGGCCCAGCCTCAGCCTCTGCCTGCTTCCAGTTACAGAGTGGGTGGGGCCCTGGTGGAGGATCCAGGCTGTGGTCCTGGCACAGTGCGCCTTCTCCCTGGGGCAGGTGGCTCTTGCAGGACTTGCCTACGGCATCCGAAACTGAAGACTCTTCCAGATTGCTGGTACTGCACCTGTCTTTCTGCTCTTCTACTTCTGGTGAGGAGATATTTCCCAGGCAAACTACCTCTTGGCTGGTAGTGCATGCAGAGAGGTGTCTGGGAGAAGGAGCCAATGAGGCCTCTAGGGTGTGTGTGTGCTAGGACAGCGGGGAGTGCAGGCCCCGAGGTCACAGCCATTCCTGACCCACAGGGCCCTGCCAGAATCTGCATGGTGGCTCCTTACCTGGGGGAAGGGAGAGGAGGCCAAACAACTGATCCAGAAAGTAGCCTTGGTCAACAGGCGCAAACTCTCCTCTGAGCTCCTGAGCCAGATACTTGCAGCACTGGGCCAGCCCTGCCTGATGGGACCACACAGACCGGCCTGCCTGGCCCCTCATTCTGCACATCCCTCCCAGCTGGCCCCAGAGAAGACCAGCCCTGCAGGGAATGCCCTAGATCTGTTCCAACACCCTCAGCTCTGGAAGGAGACCCTGATTCTCTTCTATATCTGGTGAGTGGACTCAGGGCCCACGGCCCTCCCTGAGGCCTAAACTAAAAGGCTGCCAGGTGTCTGTGGGTGGTGGCTGTCTGGGTACCACTGGGTCTCTTGCTGGCTGTGCTTCTGTCTCCTGTTGTGACTGCTGGCCAAGGCAGTCCCTCTTTCTGAGTGTGCTGGGGTCTCATCACCTGGGACTGGGAGCACTCTGGAACTCTGAAGGTTGTGAACAGCCTGGTATTCTATGGCCTGGGCCTCAGGGTGGGGGATTTTGGCCTGAATATCTACCTGACACAGTCAACCTTTGGAGCAGTCGAGGTGCCTGCCTGCTACTGCAGCATCCTTATAATGGAATGGATGGGCCGCAGGTAGAGTCAGTCAGGGATTCTGGTTCTGGATGGCCTCGTGTGTATCACCATCATCTTCGTTCCAGCAGATACCAGGGCCTCTGCCCACACCCCCCGTGCTACCGAGACCCCTTGTTTCCTTTTCAGGAGTGAGGGCTTCCCTGGGGCTTGGGTGCACACGGGGTGAGGAGTGTGGCCGAGGGCAGGGACAGGGCCCAGGGGGCGGGTCTGGCCACTCTTCATGTGACTGACGGGCAGCCTCCACCATATCTGCCTGTGGTGCTCGTTGTGCTGGCTCTGGTGGGGAAGTTTGCCTTGGCGGCTGGATTTACCATCTTCTACGTGAACTCTGCTGAGCTCTTCCCCACTGTCATCAGGTAAGGGCGGTGGGTGCAACCCTGGCTCCTCTGTTCCTGAGACCCTCATTTTGACCATCCCGCCTCCACCCTCCCTGCTGTTCCCCTTAGAACTTATAGAACTTACAGGACTGGCTCTGGGGCAGCAGGGCTGGATGGGGTCCAGAGCTGGCTGAGGTCAGGGGAGTGCAGAGGGCAGTGGAGGGCAGATACACCAGGGGCCGTAGCCTGGCCTTGTCAGGACTAAATGCAGTGTGAGTCCAGGTTTGATGAATGGCTCAGAAGGAAGTCTCCAGTGGGAGTGGGGGTTGGTCAGGAGATGCCACCTTTGATCGGAGACTGGATAAGTGGGCAGGAGTGCAGCCGGCAAACAGAAAGGTCTGGAGGTGGGAGAAGCAGGCCACATAGTAGGACTAGGAGAAGTGCAGGTTGATGGGGCAGGAAGGCTGTGTGGACTTGAGGAAGCCTGGAGACCCTCCACATCTGGGGAGACCAGATGAGACATCGGGGCTTTCCAAGGACGTGAACTGGGGTGGAACTGTGGAAGGAGCTGGGGTGGACCCAGGGGAGGCTGGGTCCACTCAGCTTCTGCTGGCCTTCCCACAGGCAGACAGGCATGGGGCTGGTGAGCATCTTCTCAAGGATCAGGGGCATCCTCATGCCACTCATGATCCTGCTGGGCAAGTATCATGCGTCCCTGTTCGTGCTCGTCTATGGCAGCCTCCCCATTGGGGCCAGCTTACTCTGCCCTGCTGCCAGACCCCGAAGGACACTATCGATGACCTGGAGCAAGAATCCTGACCACAATGAGGTGCTTGCTCTCTCTGAAGCCCAGGACCTCATATCAGTGGCCCCTGTCCTAGAAGGCCAGGTCTCTACTTTACCACTTGTCCATTGTTGCAGAGGGAGCCCTCACGATTCCCATACTTTGGGGAGGAGGTGGAGAGGCATGGAATCAGTTTCTAGATAGCTAATGATGACCTTCTGCTTCCTCCAGCTCTCTGAAGGCAGTGCTCTCAGAAAAGGATTTGGAGGCCTCGGGAAGTATCTCCAGCCCAGGGGTAGCCTTTAGAGCAGCACTTAGCTCTGTGACTGTGTCTCCAAAGCTAGACTGGCAGCATCAGAGAGCTGCCTAAACACTCGCCTGTAAATGGCTGGACCTATGAGCACCACCAGCCTTGCTAATGGAGGCACTATCCCATGAGCTGGCCCCAGAGCCAGCCACCCACTGCCTGGCCCAATCTCAGAAGCATCCGAGATGGGCCTCCCTCCTTTCAAAGCCATGCTCATCCCCAAAGCCCCACCCCCAGTACCCTGTTCTGAATTAGAGTTGGGTGTGTCTTGGGTTTAACTTGTCCTCTGACACTCTTTGGGGATATGGCTCCTCAGATCCCCTCCATCTGGGATTCCCCCTGTCCTGAAAACATAGCCAAGCCCAGAACAGGACAGCCCTGTAGGGCCTCTCCCAGCCCTTGAAGTCATGGACCAATCCAGACAGGTGGACAAAGGGGAGTTTGCGATTCCTCCAGTGGCTGGACCAGGCCTGAATGGATAAGGTGGGACCCACAGGACATTTGATCTAGCTGAGAGGAGACTGATTCCGTCAGAATCAAAGCTTCAGGGTCGCCTTCTCTTCAGAGCTTCTCCTTCACCTGCCCTTCACTCGGGACCAGTGGCGGGGAGAGGCAGGACATGGTTCTGTCCCTCTCTAGGCCCCTCTTTCCTTTCATTCTCTGCAGCTCTGGCTCTTGCAGAGCCCGGGCAGGGTAAGGGAAGGGGGCAGAAGTCTTCTTACTTGGTGGCCACTAGTGTTGGTTCTTTTGGGACTTGCAGTGATTAATCATTAGTCAGTGGCCCTGGGAGGGTCCTAAAATTAGGCTTTCTTCAAGAATATTCAGGGGTTCTCAGTGATCACCCCAGCACTCTGCGATGCTCCTTAGTATGAACAACATGCTGGCAAATGACTCCTTGGAACTTCATCTCCTGCCCCCTCCCTGTGGATGCCCACATAGTATCTCTTAGGCTGGCCTCCCTTACAAGACAGTCCAACTAGGACAACCACAGCAGCACATTAGCCCCACTGTCCGCCTTCTTTCTGCTTACACCCCAAGACCTGCTCACGGGTACAGAGCATCATATTTGTGACAATCTCTTCTCTGAATCCAGTCACCAGCACCTCCTGAGTCTTTAGCAGCACCTTGTATTCCTACCAGCTTTTCAAGTCAGCTTGTTTCCCAGTTCTCACTGGTGGCTGTTTCTCAGGTCTACTCTGCTTGTCCCCCTTACAGCTCTGGCTCTTGCAGAGCCCGGGCAGGGTAAGGGAAGGGGGCAGAAGTCTTCTTACTTGGTGGCCACTAGTGTTGGTTCTTTTGGGACTTGCTGTGATTAATCATTAGTCAGTGGCCCTGGGAGGCTCCTAAAATTAGGCTTTCTTCAAGAATATTCAGGGGTTCTCAGTGATCACCCCAGCACTCTGCGATGCTCCTTAGTATGAATAACATGCTGGCAAATGACTCCTTGGAACTTCATCTCCTGCCCCCTCCCTGTGGATGCCCACATAATATCTCTTAGGCTGGCCTCCCTTACAAGACAGTCCAACTAGCGCAACCATAGCAGCACATTAGCCCCACTGTCCGCCTTCTTTCTGCTTACACCCCAAGACCTGGTGACGGGTACAGAGCATCATATTTGTGACAGTCTCTTCTCTGAATCCAGTCATCAGCACCTCTTAAGTCTTTAGCAGAACCTTGTATTCCTACCAGCTTTTCAAGTCAGCTTGTTTCCCAGTTCTCACTGGTGGCTGTTTCTCAGGTCTACTCTGCTTGTCCCCCTTCCTCTTACCCCCTACCAGATAGTTTCTCAACCTCCTCTCAAAGAAAGAAAAAGCCATCCTATGACCACTCCTCAAATTTGCCACCAAGAAAACTTTAACCTACGCTCCCTCCTCCCCTGGGTGGGGATCTGGGAGCAGCTGAGGGGAGGGTCTGTTCCTCCCCTGCCTTTCCTCTCCATTCTTTCTCCTCAGGCCTGGGGATTGGGGGTGAGCAAGTGGTGCCTGGAAGGATGGGAGTTTCCCACAATGGGGGTGGAGCCATCATGGGGGAGGCCGGTGCTCTGGGTGTTGGGCACAGTCTGCATGAAGGCATGGGGCTGGCTGGTGTGGAGATTTTCCCAGTCTGCCTTGCACCTTCTGCCCCTGGAGCCTATGGCCAGGTGTGCACCAGTGGTAGAATGCTGCTCCCCCTCATCCTACCCAACCCTGGGACCTCCCCACCCCATTGTGACACTGCTCCCTGGACACCATGGAACCCAAGGGTTCTGCTTCCGAGGGTCCAGCTGGGCCTGGACTGTGGTCAGGTGGGCCCTGGCTTTGGCTTGTGGTCCTGTCTCTAGGGAGGAAGGGCCGGGAGGGTGTGAGGGTTTCAATTATGATGGCACCCAGCAATTGCGGGGCTGCATTCTCAGTATAGATGCTGATAGGAGCCTGCTGGACCCTGTTCGACTGTGGGAAGTCTGTGGAAGGAGCAGGCTGCCCTCCCAGGAACCGTGAGTTCTAAGCTGTGGCATCTGGCCATTTCCTTGCTCAGAAAGGGGGCTGCTCCTGGCAGTGCCTCCCTGTCCCAGGCCTCAGTTCCCTCTTTTTATGTTGGGAACCAGTTGCTGAGGCCTGTCCACCTGGTGGGAGACCTTTGGGAACAAGTGCTTCAGGTTCTTGCAGACTGTCAGGCCCCTGTTGGGCATTCAGGTGATGCTCGGGGGACACTGAAGGGCACTCTACCAGAGAAGCTGGCTCCAGGCCCCAAATCACATCTTTGTGAGCAAAACAAAGGTTCTCTCCGTCCCTCCCTCCTTCACTCCCCTCTTTCCCTCTCCCTAGGAAGTCTCTTCTATCGTGTGAAACCCTCTCCAGCCTTACACACGTACGCACTCTGCTAGTTTTCTGTTGCTGTTGTGACAGATTACCACAAACTTACTGGCTTTCAACAACACAGATGTATTATAGTCTTGCAGGTCAGAAGGCCAAAATAGGCCTTACTTGGCTAAAATTAGGTGTCACAGGGCTGTATTCCTTTCCGGAGGCTCTAGTGGGGAATGTAGTTGCTTGCCTCTTCCAGCCTCTTGAGACTGCCCACAATTCCTTGGCTAATGTTCCCTTGTATCTACAAATCCAGCAATGGCTGGTCAAATCTTGAGAGATATAACTGAAGTTTGCTCATTTTCACTGCTGTATGGCAGGCCGTTAGAGAAATATATGACAGTTTATCCATTCCTCTCTTGATGGAGCTTTGGGGCTCTTTTCCCCCCCTCTCATATTTGGAATGTATTATCAAGAACGTCTTGATACTCTTCTTGGATCATGTGTACAAATGTTTACCCAGAGTATACAAGTGGGAATAGAACTGCTGGGTCATGAGGTGTGAGGTTGGGGCTTCCCTGGTAGCTCTGCAGTAAAGAATCCGCCTGCCAATATAGGAGATACAGGAGACACGGGTTTGATCCCTGGGTGGGGAAGATGCCCTGGAGGAGGAAATAGCACCCCACTCCAGTATTCTTGCTGGGAAACCCCATGGACAGAGGAGCCTGGAGGGCTACAGTCCATGGGGTCACACAGAGCTGGACACAACAAACACACACACTCAAGGTGTGAGGATATTCAGCTCTATGAGACAATGCTAAATTGTTTTCCAAAATGGAACAATGAATACTCCTGCCTGAAATGTAAGAAAGATGGATATTGGGTATTGTCAGACTTCTTAAATTTTCTCAAGCAAAGTGTAAATTATGGCCTTGATTTGCATTTCCCTTATTATTAAAGAGATTGAGCATCTCTTCATATGTTTGTTTAAATTTTCTCTTATTGAAAAACCCATTCATGTCTTTTGGCCATTTTTCTATTGTCTTTATTATTGATTTGTGGCCTCTTTACACATTCTTGATCCATTCCCCCCCCCCCCCCCCCCCCCCTGATGCATGTTTGTTATATATTCTCCCAGTTGTGTGATTTTTTTTTTTAACTTCACGATTCATTTTTGAGTAGTCAAATTTATAATTTAAAGGTTTTTAAAAATTATTGTACTTATTTATTTTTGGCTCTGCTGGGTCGTCATTGCTACATATGGGCTTTCTGTAGCTGTGGAGAGTGGGGGCTGCTCTCTAATTGCAGTGTGGGATTCTCACTGTGGTGGCCTCTCTCGTGGCGCACAGGCTCTAGGCACATGGACTTCAGTAATTGCAGCCCAGCGACTCATTGGTTGTGGCCCAAGGGCTGTCAAGTATATTGGCTTGTTGTTGCCCTTCAGTCACTAAGTCGCGAGAAATTTAAGAAGCAATTCCATCTACCATTGCATCAAAAAGAAAAAAATATCTAGGAATAAACCTATCTAAGGAGACAAAAGACCTGTACTCTGAAAACTATATTGCTGATGAAAAAAACTGAAGACATAAACAGATGGAAAGATATACCATGTTCATAGATTGGAAGAATCAGTATTGTCAAAATGAGTATACTACCCAAGGCAAGCTACAGATTCAATATAATCCCTATCAAATGACCAATGGCATTTTTCACAGAACTAGAACAAAAATATCTCAAAATTTGTATGGAGACACAAAAGATCCCACCAAATAGCCAAAGCAATCTTGAAAATGAAAAATGGAGCTACAGGAATCAGGCTTCCTGACTTCAGACTGTACTACCAAGCTACAGTCATCAGAACAGTATGATATTGGCACAAAAATAGAAATATAAATCAATGGAACAGGATAGAAAACTCAGAAATAAATATATATATGTGTGTGTGTGTGTGTGTGTGTGTATGTATGTATATATATATATATAAAGGACTCCATCTAGCTAGTTCATACATCCATTACCTACCTATTTATTTATTATGATTTTTCATGAGAAATTTATGTTCTGCTGTCTTAGCAGATTTCAATTATGCAATGTAGTGTTATCCACTATAGCCACATGTTTTTACATTATATCCTCAGACCTATTCATCTTATAATAGAAAGTAATTATTCTTTTACCAACCTCTTTCTTTTCTCCCACTCCCAGAAATCACTTTCCCTTTGTTTTCACTAGTCTGACTCTTTTTTTAAAAAAATTCTATATATAAGTGATAACCCTGTGGTATTTGTCCTTCTCTATCTGTTGACTAGTGTTAAGGCCCCCGAGATCCATCCATATTGTCACAAATGACAGGATTTTCCTTTTTTTCTCATGGCTAAGTAGTATTTCATTGTGTGAAATGAAATATACCATGTTATCTGTATCCATTCATCCATTGATGGACACAGTGTTTCCATATCTGGCTGTTTTTGTTCACTGTTTGCATTTCTGTCTTAACTGTATAATCTTTTTCCTTTATTTGGGTTTGTTCTTTTCTATTTTCTCTTATGAAGAGCATTTAGTTCTTTAATTTTCAGTCTTTCTGATTTTCTATTATAAAGCAAGTTAAAATTATACATTTTCCGGAGTACCACTTTTTATATCAGCCATAAGTTTGATATGAATGGTATAAAGTTTTATAATTTTCACTTATAAGCATTTGTATTATTATCACTCAGTTTTTTCATATTGTAAAATTTTTCATTATCTCTTCTTTGACTTCTGAGATATTCAAAGTTTTTATTAACTTAAAATATGTATTCATAAAATTTTAGAAAAATATATGTATATTACATGTGCATGGATTAGAAGAAGACTCAATATTAAGATGTCAATTCTTCCCAAACTAATCTATAGATTCAATATACTCTCAATCAAAAGCACAGCAAACTGTTTTGCAGATATCAGCAAACTGATTCTAAAGTTCAGATGGAAAGACAAAAGACCTATTAATAGATATTCAACACAGTAATAAGAAATAACAAAGTTGGAGGCTTTTAAGACCTGATTTTAAGACTTCCTGTAAAGTTTTCCATAATTAAAATACATGGTATTGGCAAAAGAATAGATACACAGAAACATGAAGAGAACAGGCAAGTCCAGAAATAGGCCTGCATAAATATCGTTAACTGGTCAAGGGAAAAAGG